GTTTCAGTGTCACATACATAGGTCGGCTAATGTTAAATTTCGTATATTTCCATTATTCTGTTTTCAAGTTTGTAAACTAAACGGAGTAATGTATTCACTAGTGCCACAAATAGCAACTCGCGGTTGTCCATGAGCGGTGCATTTAATATCATCGGCTGTAACATTTGCTCATTCTAATGTTACTTAGATAAACGAAATATTCCCCGCGTTCCAGGCCGGCCTCACCGCCCCCAGCCACCGATTACACAGTCAACGGCCATCGAGGTCAGGGCCCGTCCCGAACCGTCTTAGATGATACATATAATAATATAATGAAATACAATGATACAAACAGCGTGTCGTTACAACCGCGACAATAAATGAAATGATTATTGGCAAGCAGCTTGTGTTCATTTATTGTCGCGGTTGTAATGACACGCTGTGTATACATATGTACTGTCGATAGCTTTTAAGCGACATTCCTCCCTATGAAATTTAATAATATATTATAGATAACGAATGTTTAAAATTATCCCGGTATACATACGACATATACAGCGTGTCTTTACCATCACGACAATAAATGAACACACATAAACAGGATAAATTTTTACATTCTTTAAACATCAATATTTACCGAGTTATCAAATTTTCCAAAACAAAGAATTTTAGAACACCCTTACGTATAAAACTTTAAAACTTTAATGTAAAGTTAATTTGTAAAGGTCACAAAGCATATGAATGGGTTGAATGAATTTAAAAGAGACAAAACATACTGTTAGAAGGAGAGGCTTTCAATGCGGCGCTGTGGCAACGAATGAAAAAGTCTCTGAATGTATGAATCAGTCAGTTGTCAACTATAGGATGTTACAAATTTTGTTTGATTTTTACTTAATTAGTTTGTTTGAAAAATATTTTGTTTTAATTATGGATTTTTTTAACGTTAATATTTTTTAAATTGTTTTTATAGTGCTAATCTTTGCACTTAAGACTGAACATTAAAATATGTAGAAAAAGTGCGAAAAGATTGTCGCCGCTGTGGGAATCGAACCCACGTCTTCGGCGTTCGCGGCCTGACGCTCTAGTCACTGAGCTAAACGGCTGATTACCACACCGACGAAAATCTTAACGCATTCTTCCACATTGTTTTCTTAGCATTTGAAGCAATGCTTGGCGCCATCTATTGTTATATCCTTTCCAGCATACAAACAACTTCGAATATCGTTTTACAACGATAATTCGAACGAGAGATGTCGCCATTGCTTTTTAGAAATTTAAATTGTTTTTATAGTGCTAATCTTTGCACTTAAGATTGAACATTAAAATATGTAGACAATCTTTTCGCACTTTTTCTACATATTTTAATGTTGGTATATACATATGTTAATATTTTTGTTTGATTATTGGCAAGTAGCGTTAGACGTGTGCTCATTTATTGTCGCGATGGTAACGACACGCTGTATAGGTGAATGTAACAGATGATATCGAACGTATGATATGGAAAGAGATAGCAGTCTATAGATTTGCAATCTAATTACACCAATTGATGTAATTTGAGCGCCTCAATTTCGAGGCGCCAGTGTCATTCATACCTTTGTACATGATATCATTCATTCTTCCCATTCAAAATAACGCGGAGCCGTATCATGTTCGCGAGTTATGGATATCTGCGTTCGATGAAGGTCTACGGACTGAGAACCGAAATATCAGTTAAAGTGAAAATAAAAAAGCATTGCTAAGAATTTGTCGTTAATAACAAAAGTTTTAACAAATAAACGTTTGCAATAAGATTACTACTGTTGTTACCTTGACGTTTGAATATCGCGAATTTCTTTTTCTTGTGTCCCCCACATCCAATTTAGATATTGCTCCTTTCCCTTCCAGGAGGACACGAAAATTATACCTGTATTTGTTTTAAAGTTCATAAATGCTAATTGCTAAATCATTTCACTCATTCACTTATTTAAACAAATACGCAAGCAAATAATTATATCAAACACGATAACAAGATAGTAAAATAAATTAAATATATACAATTTCAAGGATAAGCTAAGTATTGACTGTCGGAAATTAACGAAAGCTGTGGTAATGAAAAGAATTCTGGTCCATAACCTCAGGAAGCAATAACAAACATAAGAATCTTGGTACTTTTTACAGCAGCTACGTGGAGCGTTCAATGCATTCTTGGTATCAGGGTGATATATGAGGGTGATTAAATTATCTCACTAGTTAAAGAAAAAATTTCATTTAAATTCAAACCGGGTAGAGAGATTATTGAAGAAGACGTGCCGGTGGGCCAGTTAATGCCATTACTGAAGAAAATGTCAAAATCGTTGAAAAACGTCTACTCGAATATGCCCGTGTTAGGAGTGAAAACATTAGCAGAGAAGACCAAGCTATCCGTGGATATTAATCAAACTATCCCTCGTGAGCATTTGAATTTGTCAAAGGTCAGTGCAAGATGAGTGCCGCAAACGCTCACAGCGCTTTGGAAACAAGTGCGAGTTGAGCGTTGCAAGGAGTTTTTGGCGCTGTGTGGCGCGGCGTAAATGCGCATGGTATTTACGCCGCGAAGTATTAACGACTCACTCGATAAAAGTGATAGCCGATCCTGAGAGCAAGCAGGAGTCCATGCAGTGGGATAAAAAGGAACAGACCCATCAACGAGGTTTAAACTCACTCCATTCACCGGAAAAAACATGGCCGCAATATTCTAAGGGAATTTTTATTGATTGAGTACATAAAAAAGGGCAGTGTTACTGCCGAATCTTACACAAACCGCACCTCACCTAATTTAAAGGAGGCAATAAAAGAAAAAAAAAACACGTAGAAAATTGGCCGTAGGTCTCTTGCTTCTTGACGACAACATATTATATTTATATTCCATAAATATTTTTAACTTATTTCTAATGTCAGGATTTTTTTTATTCAGGAAATGCACGCACCCCATAAGGCAATGAAAGCAGAAAAATACGGTGTAAATTTGTTGTCCAACAAGATGTTTATAGCATACGTAACGCAGTAGTCACCAACCCTCTTAATTGTGCATTTAAAAGTCGTATTAGAGTTCCTCCAACCAGGACAGTAAGTGCAAAGTGCAATATTTGAATTGTTGCTGCATATCGGCCCTCTGAAAATGACGGCGGATAAGATACATGTAGTATTAGGCGTTCTCAAGATCGCTCAACAACGTTTAAAAAGATTTCACCGAACTCATCCATAATAAGTTTGTTGTGTATCAATGAGTCAGTAGTAAAGTAAAGTAACAGCCTGTATTTATATGGGTAAAGGCGTCGTCTCTACAGATACAAAAGGTATTAGGGCATAGTCCACCACGTGGCCTCACGCGGATTGGCGGACATCACATACCTTCGAAATTTTGTTCTCATTTCGAACATATGCAGGTTTCCTTACAATGTTTTCCTTCACGGTTGAGCACGATAAGTCGGCGATTTCATTGGAGTCAGCACCGGGGATCGAACTCGGGTTCCTCGAGTATATGGAATTAAAAGCGAGTTCTATGCTTTGATTTTCTAAGCGCTATTTATATTTTATTTAACTCTTACAATAATGCACTTTACATAATAAAAATAAAACATGTAAAAAACTTACATTAAGGACGTATATCTATAGTTCATTAATATTGCTAAAATTAAAGTTATTATCGCAGCAAATGCTGCAACCATTAATGCTTGGTTATAAAATCCGTAATAAGTGAAGAACATTGCGATCTAAAACACAAAAGCGTAAGCACAAGGACATTGACTGTCACAAACATCAATGTACCACATTGAGTTGGCCGTTCGGCGAATGGCTTACCGTGAGCTCTGTGAAATACGGATAACATTAAAATTAAAATTTATTTAAAATTTAAATTAAAACCTAACAGAGCAGTTACTACAAATATATTATACTAACTACTCTGTTAGGTTAAAACTTTCACTCAAATTAAGCCACCGCCACACAAATATTGTTAAAATTTCTTAACTTACTTTTTGTCCAAAATATTCATTTATTAAATTTAATGGTTGCTTTTCAAATACATTCCACCCAGCCCAATTATAGAATAAAATCTGAAATACATAATTTATACAAATTAGGTAAAAAAAAGTACTAGCTTTTTATTTCTCTGTTCTTGTTTATTTCACTTCTATTCCCAATTAGATATATACCTAGATGACTCTGATCACTAAGTGCGTCTTAAAATTAAAACATTTAAACAACGTCAGAGCGTTCTAACTAAAAAGGACATAATTATAATTTTCTTATATATAAAATTCTCGTGTCGCAATGCTACAATGCCCACTCCTATCGGAGGAAGCTTAATGGATTTTTATGAAATTTTATATTATGTATATTTAGTAGGTCTGACAATCAGTCGTAATCTATTTTTCATCCTCTAAGTGATAAGGGCAGTCCTTTCACTTAGAGGAAATTTTTTCAAATTTTCTTTTCTACCCTCCAAATTTCCTATAAATAATTTATATGGGAAATAACGTTTACCGGGTAAGTCAGTCTATACATAATACGGTTCAATGAAACAAATGCTATATTTATATAAAATATTATACAAATATACACACGGAAACCTTATCCTGTTTGTGAAAATCAACGGGCTTAGAGGACAATTACTAAAACGTCGTTTTAAATATTTAAGATCGCATAAGAAGAAACCAACGAAAATTATTTTAAAAAACCGGCCAAGTGCAAGTCGGACTCGCGCACAATGAGTTCCGTACCATTATCTATGAAAACGTCAAAAAATCATGTCTGTTGTATGGGAGCCCCACTTAAATATTTTTTATTCTGTATTTTAGTATTCGTTTTATAGCGGCAACAGAAATACAACATCTGTGAAAATTTCAACTTACTATAACGGTTCATGAGATACAGCCTGGTGGGTGGTGACAGACAACAACGAAGTTTTAGTAATAGGGTCCCGTTTTACCCTTTGGGTATGGAACCCTAAAAAAAGGATTATTTATTGATATTAATTAAATTTTTTTTTAAATATGTTGTTACCTGGCGAGCATTAACGTTCTTAGTATTATGACTTTGTGGCAGAAAGTAGGGTCCATCGTGCAATGCAAATACATCGAGCATGATATTGTGACTTAATAATCTAAAAAATGATATTATATTATAAATATACAGCGTGTCGTTACCATCGCGACAATAAATGAACACACGTCTAACACCAATAATCATAAAAAAATATTAACGTTAAACAAAATCCATAATTAAAAAAAAATATTTTTCAAACAAACTAATTAAGTAAAAAAGAAACAAAATTTGTAACATCCTATACAACTCGCGCCACAGCGTCGCATTACTAGCCTCTCCTTCTAACAGTATGTTTTGTCTCTTTTAAATTCATTTATATGCTTTGTGACCCTTACAAATGAACTTTACGTTACAGTTTTATACGTAAGGGTGTTCTAAAATTGTTTGTTTTGGAAAATTTAATAACTCTGTAAATATTGATGTTTGAAGAATGTAAATATTTAATAAAATTTTAAAAATTTATCCTCTATATGTGTGTTCATTTATTGTCGCGTTGGTAACGACACGCTGTATATCTTTTTAATAAATAGGTAAAAATATATTTCATTCATTTAATAATTAATTAAATAAACAAAACACAAAGTTATGTACACGAACATGTGTGTTTTCAAAAACCTCATTTGGTTCGGGATACATAAATAAATAAACATGGTAAAATTTCTATAACGTACGACGCTTCGGGAGATTTATTGTTCTTTTATGTAAGAACCGACGACGAAGAAAAAAAATTTTAGTGGCATATTACATTACGAGAAATTAAAAAAAAAACTTTAGCTATTTTTAATACAATTTGACGTTCCGTTTCTTTTATTAATTCATGTTTAATGTCTTGTCTGAAAGGAATTTTGACTTTCTGAGTTAGATAGATACTAAAATAATAAAAAATTGTACCTTTCCATACCAATATAATTTTGTCGTTCTCCAAACGGCAAATGCAAGATAATCATGTAAACTATAAGACTCCGATCTAAGTTTGAATATCGTAAAGGTTCTATATAACCATTCCTATTAAAAAAGATACATTTGTTTAGGTAAAATAATAAAATAAAGCTAAAAATAGCAAATCTATCTATACAATCTAGATAGTATAGATACAAAATGAAAAGTTGATGTAACAACCAGTGTTCCACGTTTTTGTAACACTATTACGGATTGTTTTGTTTTCACTTGCGGTCTTTTCATTAGTACCTACATACTATACATATAGTTATTTTTTTTTATTTAATCGTGCTAGAAATTTGTATCTATATTATTTAACCAGAAAGATATTTTGTTGTCAATTTCCTAGGGGATTAAATCGACGATACGGAGCTACATAGTTGGAACGAATAATAATCGAAGAGAATCGACACGTGAGAACAAAAAGTTTAGGACAGTTCGACGCTTTATATGAATTAATCCATTTTATTGACTTCTATTACCGTAAGTGCGTCATTGCTTTGAGCAGTGCCATTTTGTATTGAAAAAATAAATTTAATCCACAGTATCAGCAGCTGCAACGCATCAGCAACCCAATGTTGTCGATGTCCAATGGCGGTGGTAATCACTTAACATGAGGTTAATCGTCTTCCAACTTTTCACATAAAAAAAGGTGAAATATAAAATTTTTGTAAATAAATTAACAAAAATTGTAATTGAATATTCGTTGTGAGATGTTGTTGCCATTGCTATTTTTTTAAGAGCAGTGATCTGTTTGCTGTAAACTTGTAAAGGATGCACACTAGACGGCGCCAACCATTGCTTAAAATGCAATAGAAGAACTTAGATAGATGTAGGGATTTTCGTGCCGAGAAGCCGTCGGTCGAGACTAGCACTAAAAATAAAAATTAATCCTAATCGAAAAAAAAAGTTATCGTATTCGAACACCTCTCTTTCGTACCTGACTATGTTTATCCATTCCCAATCGTACGACATTTTCAAGAATTCATCTCGACTGTTTTTAAAACGTCTGAAACCGAACACTTTACCATATTCATAAAGCACCGTGTCCGGGGCGTGAACTTTCACGAAAACAACATTCTTATGAATTTGCATCTGAAAATATGAAAATACATTTACATGCAGCGAAAGAAATGAGGTGAGGAAAGGTTTGAAAAGTTGTGATTTTCCTTAGGAATGGATTTGGTTTCAAAGTATTTGCTTACCTACTTTTTGAATAGGTTAACTTTATCGATTATATAATCTACTAAATAGCAGTTACATATAAGGAGAGAGTTCCAAGTACGGTATTACTATGAACTTCAAATTCAATTAATTCATTTGTAGGCATACTCAAAAACTCCTGTCAAACATTGGTAAAAATGTAAAATAGAAGTAGATAGTTTTCGAGGCTTTCGCGTCGTTGGGATATTATCTTAGCTTAGTTGTGATTGCGTTAACCAGAAGATTTAGGTTCCAATTCTAGCATTTCGGAGAATTTTTCGATAATTTATATATTAAACTCACAATTAAATTACTTTAAGTTCTTGATAAAGTACGCCTAGTTTCTAATTAATAGTGGCCCATAAATAGTTTATTAATTTTTTAATTACGTAAACAGTGCCAATCGTCGTGTGTTTTAAAAATGTATACTGGATTGTATCGAATAGCAGGTTATATAGAATAAAAACCATCTGAAACTTAAAATAGTTGGAGGAAACTCAAAAATGTTAGACAAGGTAGCGGCTATAATTTTTTAAATATAAGTAAAATACAACCGAATTGAGAACGTCATCCTTTTTTGATGTCGGGTGAAAACAGAGCCTTTATTAACTAGTATCATAACGTTGACTTTGGGGATAGATAATATAAAGGACAAAAGGAAATACACTCACAATGCCAGGTTCTAACTCAATTTCTAGTCCGAATTTTACAATGTTAATTAAATAATTAACTCTATGTTTTTCATTCTCCGTGTCCTGATCATCTTTTGTAACAATTATCAGATCGATTTTCCGTACACCATCCCTAAATGTACGCGCTGCAAACGTTTCTGGAACATTGGTTCCAATAAGTGATTCCTGAAAAAAATATATCTTGCTTCATTGCGCTATTAGAACAATTATTGTAGGTATGACATTTAATAATATTTTAGAAATATCAAGTTCAATTCGAAATCGTGTCTCGAAATTGAGGTTAGCTCCTATTTTTTTCTCATCGATCTGATTTTCTATTAAACCTAATAATGTTTTGCCAAGATAGATTTCTTTAATTTAATGCCGCTTATCAACGTAATACAAGCTGCTCATTTCGCCCGAAGCAAATTCAATACTAAAAAATTCAGCGATTCGATGTTATGTATTCATAAACATACCGCTATCGTTGGGTCCCCGTGGGGATCTGTCATCTTAAATGATTTCCAAATATATGGATAGGTTATATCTATATAAAAAAAATTTCAGCAAAACAATGAAAAAGTTTGCCGAAATGTCACTGCAATGAGATAATGACAGATCAAACGTGTTCAAAAATTTTTCAAGCCACTTCAGATATCGATAAAACCCCAAACAAAATTAAATTAAATTGTAAAGTAATGTAATTTACTTGCAGTCTGTGCGCCCTAAGTAAGCAAAAATTAGAGGACAATTTAATCAATATATTATTAGTACCTATATGAATTGTATCATGAAGATTGTAAAATATTTGAAGTCTTCGAAATGAATGAGATTGGATCGATTCTTTATATTTATAAATTTTGAATAAGGAATTTTGAATAATTAAAATTTTCCTAAATAAATAAACCTATTTATTTAGAATTTTTTATATCCTTTTCTTTAATATCCCAAACAAAGCAAAGCTAGTAGGTACTATGCAAACTAGGTATGTAATACTTAAACATAATTATTTCTTGTAAATTAATGCAATAGATATGTAAACACCAAGATACTAGAAAAACATGTTCATCATTGTGTATATCTCCAGCGGTGGGGATCCCACCCAAACCCTCTACAAGCAACCTCAAGAGATAGGTTCACTATCCTTATGCCTATCAGCTCATCAACAGAAGTATTTATTCGTTTTAATACTCCAGACTTCTGGTTTGAATCTCAAGAAAATGCTGTGATCGAATATGGTATCCATTCTATGGTTGGATAAGTAGGATTGTATATATGTGATATTTTCTTTATAATTTACACTTTCTATAGCACTTCTTTCATTCGATTTTTCACATGACGCATATGATTTCATATGTGATTTCTTATATTTTCGCGAATAATAAGTACTGGATAAAAAATACTTTGAGGATTATGTCGCATTTGTTTTGTAACTACACATGTTTATTTTCTTGCTTTTCTATGCTTATGCCCGCGATAGAGGAAAATATGTGCTGGTGTTACAAGGCAGCAGTCTTCCAATTCTCCGCGGGTGAAACATATTGAGCGGCGTAGTCAGGACTAAATTTGCCTTACAGAGCCGGGAGGCATTTGTGAGCCCTCGGGGGCAAGTGTTCATGGGCGGCGGTAATCATTTACCATCGGGTGAGCCCCCTTTTTTTTATGTGAAAAGTTGCCAAGCGAGCAGACAGTTCACCTGATGTTAAGCGAATACCGCCGCCCATGGACGTCTGCAACACCCGATGGTTCCAGATGCGTTGACAACCTTTTGAGAATTGGGCTCTGGCCACATCACTCACCAGACGAAACGCGAAAGTATTATACTTCCACTTTACGCCGGTCTTCTGTGAGGTTGTGGTACTTACCCAGACGAGCCTGCCCATTCGTGCAACAGCCGAGGCTGCTTCGTGGCCCTACCACCGTTAAACGGCCCCTGGTCGTTTGCCTCTTTTCTCCATAAAAGGTCCGACATAACCTCGATATTTTTTTCATTCGCCCTTTTCAACTTTGTCCTGGTGGCCGTAGCTTCTAGAATTTAAGGCATATAAATTTAAAAGAAAATAAAAGACTGTCTACAGCCAACATTTAATAAGATTAATGAAAAAGATAATCATTTAAAATACACAGAAGAAAGTAAAGAAAAATAATACATACAATGTAAAATTTCATTTATTTATACCCTTTGAAACGAAGTATTTGTGTTTTATATCTCGTTCAATAATGATTGTTGTTTTCACATCTTTAGCATAAGGAGGCAATAACCATCTAAGTAGCAGTGCAAACAAAATGTAGAAATGCTGAAATGTAATCGTATATATTTTGTTTTAAATTGATTTATATCGTACTGCTCTACTGGAGGTCCTATTAAGCGACTAACGAAAACTACAAGCGAATGGATGTAATGCCATAATAGAAATTAGTAAATGTTTTTTTATGTTATTTCTAAAAACATTGCCCTTACTTTAGGATAACATTATCCTGTGTTCTAACGACGTTTTACATACATAAATTCACAAACACCCAGAAGCGAAACAACAATCGGTGGGTCACTCAAATATTTGTTCCGTGTGGGATCGAACCCACGCCGAAGCCAATACCTTGGCAACAGCGCCACGGAGTCATACTAGAAAATTAACTAGTACACAAAGATAATGCGAAAAATAAATTGTACAGGTAAATATACACAAGGCTAATGATAGCGGTAGATGAGAAGGAATACATTACCTCATAAAAGAAAATAAACCACCACTTCAGTCGCTTTGCTTCCCAATAACGATTTAACGGGATAAACTTCTCCAACATAACTGCATATAAAATAAATGGTATAAGAGTAAGTATGACTAAGGTTCTGTATATAGGCCGGGTGCTCGCATTTTATTTCTATATACTGGAGCAACCCGAGATCAAATCCCGGTGCCAGCACGAGTGAGGTTGTTAATTATAAGCGCTGGTTTATCATGTGCTCAACGGTGAAGGAAAAAGTCGTGAGGTAACCTTTTCAGTAGTTAACCTTTTTTTTCTTGATTCAAATAAAAACAAATAAGAAATATCTATGACATGCAAGTCTGCAAATCCATAGTAGATTCTCGTTGTGGACTTTGTCTGAATACGCTCAATATACAGGAGGCCCTTGTCCAGCAGGGGAACATATATAAGCTGTTAACTTTATTTTATTATATACATAGAATATTCAAAATTACAAACTTTTAAAGAGTATACCGATCAAATTCTATGTACTATCCGGTTTTAATTTGAGTCCCTACTTTATGCCTCACAAATAAATATAAATTATTAAAAATATAAAAATATAAATTATTATTATTTATCCTTGAATTACGTTAGGTGAATAATGAAATAATAAATAAATTTAAACACTAAAATAAAAACTTTTACGACATAAACCTGAAAATTAGATAATCCACGGTGCGATAGTAGTTTGCTACTTTTCTTAAACAAAAATTGCCCGACAAACTCAAGACGAACTAATGGGTACATAAATTAAAATAAACTAAATAATCAAGTCTCTTCTTTTGACTAATAATCTGATGGCGCACTTAATTTATGTAAAAAGGCTCATGTTTAGTACATCTTACGCCCGGTTTCTGAAACACTGATCATCGTAGAAATTAACTAACCAGCTGTCAAATGGCTTTCCAAATGTCATTTGATTTACCACGAGGATGGTTAAACTCTTTGAATTGATCATTCTGATCATTAAGAAGATCATTCTGTGTCAGTGTTTCAGAAACCGGGCGTTAGTTTTTATTTATTCGATGTATCAAACATGTACTCACTCGGGAAGCTACAGGTTTCCAAAAGGGCCTGAAAATAAGAGCAGTTGAAATTGTTGTTCAATTCGGGGAAGGTGTTTGAAGGGATATTCTTGTACATGAAGCGACTTAAAGTGCTGAGACTGAAGTCACCATGTCTTCCATATTCCGGATGTCTGAAGTGCAAATTACTGCCCGATATTTGTGCTCTATGTACAGCCACATGTGCTAGGGCTTAGGCGTTTGACGCGTTTAGGGCTAAATGTAGAGACAGTAGAGACTGGCTATATGCACCATATAGGCTAATAAGTATTCGTTATTTTTTTAAATTGCGACCTATACACAAAATATTTTCGGTGCGACATAAAAAATAAATTATTTTAAGTTAAAAGAATAATTTTTAATTGACTCTTAAAGAGCTCCTGCAATAGGATAGCCTGTGTCAAACACGAAAATTGCAAACAGACTCGTGCCGTGTGGTTTTACAATTTTTTTTATTACAATAATTATCATAGCATTTTTTCATTGCCTTTTTAAATACACTGACGGTGGTAATGAATAGCTAAAAATCATATTTTTAAGATGTACTAATTTTAAGAAGTATATTCTTCTGGAAATTAGTACGTATCATAATTGTTTTGTAGATGATAACTGATATGATATATAAGATTACATAAGGACGTGGAAGCATTAGAACATCTCATTTTACTAGCGTAAAATAACAGTATTTATAATCTTGCATAAGTCTTTTGAGTGCGGTAACTGGAGAGGGGCATTGACAGTGATTGACAGGAAACGTAGGCGTATTGAAATCTCATAAATATTAAAGAATCATGAAAGATCTTTGCATCAGCTGAACAAATTACTCAGTAATCATCCTTTTGGTTAAAAAAAAATTATAATTTATAATAATCTATTGGCAATTTTGAAGAACACTTACAGCTGTCGTGGTATAACCAAAAAATGTATTATACAACCTCATGTAATTCTCAGACTGAGGATTAGGGTTGCGTTCTTGTTGCAACGCACAGAAAATGTTTCTTTCTACCACTTGAGAACCCCAGGCTATGGATAAAATCTGTAAAGGAATTCAAATATGTGATGACTAATTTAAATAAAGTAACAGTTTTTCTACACTGTGATGACTCAAATTACCATTTTTTCACTATACATTGGTTATTAAACAAATAAATTGATCTTGATTCATACTAATTATTTTACTATGAATTATTTTATTTCAAATATGAAATGTTTTTAATCGACTTTAAAAACATTTAATAACTAAACCTTTAAAAATATCTCACGTTTAATAATGGCACAGCATATCCAACAGCGATTATAATTTTTTGCCAAGCACCAATTCCCGAAGTATTCAAGACCAGTGGTCGCCGGCAACCAGTCAAAATAAATCTGGCAGTATAGCTGTTTAAAAATATATACCATAATATTAAAATTACCAATAGCTTGAGGGCTGATTAAAAAAAACTATTTAGTTTTATTTCGTGGTAATCTCTGCACTAAAAATTTAACTAATGCTAATTTCTGTAGACAAATGTTCCACGCCCAGACGCTTTACTAACAAAGCTAAACGAGCAACGACCTCACGATGCAAAAATCTCGATATCTATATACTTTCTTTAATGAAGTTTAGCAAGGCTTGGCGCAATCTAGTGTGATCTGATATACTTTAGAGCATGAAAAGGAAAACCATTACAAATTATATTAAATAATTGTAATGACAGTCTTTAATATTTTTAGTACTAGTCTGCACACTCACATTTAATTTAAAAAAAATCAAGTAATACCTTATGTCCCATATATTAATAATGAAAATCAACAATGGCATCAAGGGGAATGCTTGAATGAAAAATGTTCCCAGGGCGAACTGTAAAACTGAAAGCACATCAATATTGAGAAGAAATATTTTTGTTTAAAGAATTATGAAACATTAATACACAAATATCCTATCTCGGCTTCCTTAAGACTATTGACACTTTTGCGCTTCGTCTGGAGAATGGGGTATCCAGTTGTCAGCGATACAACTTATAGCCACATGGCTGGCATATTGGGTTGGGTGTCCATTTCATGAGCGACGGTACGCACTTACCACCAGATAACCACTTGCCAAGGTGCTACCCGTTTAAAAAAATATTTGACAAGCTCTTTGCAATAATTATTACCTAAGCTCATATATTTGTCGTTAAGGAAGTCTTCGTCGATTGGACATAGCTCGTATTCTTTCTCCCAGCAAGGGATTTCAGAGTTCACCGATTTTCCGCGATTGTAGTCTGTTCTCACTCTGCGAGATAATAATATGGATAAATACTAAAACAAGTGAAACGCTAGCCTTGTATTATTCTTTACTAGCTGTTAGCCGCGGCTTCGCCCGCGCTTTCAAAGGAAATTAGCAATGAGTTTTTTTTATTATAAATCAGAATAGTTCGCAGATGGAAGAATTTTATCGTACTTACTTGAAACTTATCGTTATATTTTGGACAATTCACACAATATCTTTATAAATTATAGCTTGTATGTTTGATTCTGATGTATAAGCTATATTATGGAAAAGTTTCATTAAAATCCATTCAGTAGTTTTTGCGTGAAAGAATAACAAACATACATCCATACATACAAACTTTCGCGTTTATAATATTAGTAAGGATTAAAATAATTACTCTTTATTAAAATAAATATTAATTAAAATACTCACTCCAAAAGCCGCAACGGCAATTTACACAAAAATTCTTTGAGCAGGACCACAACAAGTAATAGAATGCACATTTCGTCTGCGCAACCGTACGGTCCACAGTTCATGTAACGGATTTTTTCGAATAACGTCTGATTTTCACCAGTTAGTGGTCGAAACTCATAAGCGTACACCTATCGATACAATTGGTATCACGTATTGGTCTGTTTTTCTCCAACATTATCGACCTTATAATGCACTTTGCGGAATTAAACCTTAGTTGAAATCACAGTAGGGGAAAAGATACAAAAAATATAGTCTATATGCAGTCCATACACTGTCTTCGCTGTTGCACGAATGGACAGGTCTGTCCGGCGAAGTACCACAACCTCACAGAAGACCAGCGCGAAGTGGAAGTGTTACACTTCTGTGTTTAGTCTGGTGAGTGAGGTAGCCGGGGCCACTTTGTTAAAAGGAAGCAACGCATCTGTAATTCTACGGCTGTTGCAAATGTCCATGGGCGGCGGTTATAACTTAACATCAGGCGAAGCGCCAGCTCGTTTGCCATCTTTTAACATAAAAAAAAGACCAAGGTACTGAATTTGAAGAAATCGAACTAATGATAGATGATAATCAAACGTGAATAATTTGTAATGATAATTATAATACATAATTATGAATTAACTTTCGACTATTTTTTTTCCATCGTTTGTGAGTTCTAGAAATGTATCTTATTTTGTGACAATCCTATTTCTATACATAAGATGTCGATTACGAGTTTTCCGTGGACATATTGTATTTTCCTGTATAATAATCACCTTTAACACCATTTATCATTTTTATATCCTGTACAAATACCTATTTAATACTTACATTAAGGATATTATTATTTAATAGCGACCTTTACTGTTAATGATAAAATGGAGATTTTAAATTAACAGTAAAGTGTAAAAAAATAGTAAAGTAAGTATAAAAATCAAAAAATACAGAAGTGACGGGTACAATGGGCTACTAAAAGTATTTTTTTCCAGGCAACCTTTACTTAGGTAACAATACTTACTGACAATAAAATGTAATTAATGAACAAAATTAGATAAGCAAACATATTAAATATAAAGAATTTCCAAACGTAACGTCTTTCATAAGACGCGTGAGTTTTTGGATTTTCATAATCAGTTAAAACAAAAGACAGTCTTTTATTAATCTGAAAACATAAAAATTTGTACTTCTTACTTTAAAAAGTGTAATCTATAAGAATCGAAATTATTTATATGCACATAATACTTACGTTTTCCATGGCTGATGCAAAGCATAAGTGGAATATAGCAATCAATATTAGAACAATATAAAAGCACCAATACACCTTTGTACCAAACGCTACAGACAATAACCAATGTTTATGTAACATTATAGCGATTGTAACAACTAATACGACGAAAAACTGAAAATAATAATTCAAAATATAATATTTGTATGAAAAAATAATATTTTGTAGCGAAAGGGGATCTTCTTTATTTTATGAAACTTCCAATTTTCATTGTTGCTTTCATGGTCACAGGGTCGCGGAATGCGAATATCGACTTTTATCGATTTTGCGTCCTCAAGTTTCTATACCACAGGGATCAAGGTACTTCCAATTAAAAGGAAAAAGTGCACCGACAAACTACAATTTACTAAACATGTATAATTTTCATTAATTAATGACAACTTCATAGATGAAATGCCTATGAATAAGTAGCTATTGAATGATTTTATATTTAATTTTCTTTTAAAACTAAAAATAAAACGTTGAATAAAAAGCACTATATACAGTAATAAAAACGTAGAAAAAATAGTAGTATACGGTAATACATCAAGAAGTTTTTCATCACACTATGTACACATGCAAATTATTTAAATCTTTCCACTAGAAATTAACTAGATTCATAGGCCGTAACTAGCGTTATGATACAATGCTAATTGTGCGATCAAATGTAGCCTAAGCCACTCTCGCGTAAATTTCCCCTACAAAAAATCGTACCAATTACTGGCTTACGTTACATATGGTGTACTGTAGGAAAAAACCACAAATACAATACATTTTGTTATATTTAGGGTATTTTTACATATATGTGTAAAAACTACTAAAATCAAAAGATCTCAATTAATATTGTATATTATAAGTAATATAACAAATAATATTGTAATGAATCGTTTTAGAGTGTTTTCTCTCATATATACGAGTGGATAGGATTAAATTAGCCTATACATAAGCAATTGTTACAATTTAAAATATAGTAACAGCCTTTACATATCCGAATGGTCGGCAAAGGGCTCCTCTGTACAAAGGGTATTAGGGCATAGTCCACCACGCGGCCCCACTGCGGATTGGCGGACTTTACATATCTTTGAAATATTTTTTTTGTTATTATTTCGAAAATATGCCGGTTTCCTCACAATATTTTCTTTCACCGCTGAGCACTTGATAAGTCAGCACTTAAAATGAAAAATTTTCATAGGCGCCGGCACCGGGGATCGAACTCGGGTTACTCGAATATATTAAACTGAGCTATCACGGCTCTAATATATAATAACATCTTATGGGTGTCAAATAATGTATTTGACTACGTACAAAAATACACAAAACTTACGTGAAGAAAGTAGAAAAACGCATTATATAGCACCAGGCCACAATTTTGAAAAATTGTTAAAATTCCAGTTATGTTTGATTTCTTCAAAATTTTGCCCGAAATGTTATACTGAGGTCTGTTACAATTAGAATTATTTTAATTATACAAGTAGTTTATTTTTATATAATTTTGTATTTAAAGTAGGTATTTGTTACTATTTTGGTTAATTATTTTACAATTTAATTTTAGTTAGTTTTATAAATGCAATAAAGACTAAATAAATAAATAAATACGTATAGTAATAATAAGTGAACGATATAGGCACAGTCATAATGAAATGATGATCTAAGACCACTATTTTAGACAATTTGGTGGTTAAATATTCCGAACGTGAAGGTATTAAACCCTCATTATTTTAATCGATGGTGTTAGTTTATTATAATAATTATACTCATCGGTACGAATTAGGCAAATTTACGAACAACTGCTCGGATAGCGAAATGATTAAAGTGGTCAGTTAAAGTTAAAGTTACCAACTAGCTTTTCCCGCGGTAAAGTGGGTTCGGGTCAAAACAATACCATAATGTCCATCACCAATGAGCACGTGATGAATCAACACTTACAATTACAACTAACAATTTCAGTGATACCGGCATCGAGATTTGAAATCGGGTTGCTAGAGTATAAGGAATTTAAACAGAGCATACGAATACTGATATCATGGTCTTTTATGCTGGCCATAAATTTTTGTCATGTCCGATACAGAATTAATTTCAATGTAGTTCGTATTTAAAAAAGACATGATAAGATTAAGATAAAAAAGTATCGTATCAGGAAAGAAGGAAAATAAAGTGCCGATATTTGTTAAATGTTGATAAAATAACGTTAAAAGTTGAAGTGAAATGATCAATAGTTTTAGAAACTACTTAAGGTTGTATTTTTATAGGACCTACGAAAGTACTAACGTAAAAATATTGAGATATAATTAATTCCACGTGCTTCTTTTGAATTTGGATATCGGCTATGTGCCTTCGAGGCCTGGCATGACCCTAAATCTGAAATTAGCCGAGTGTCTAGTGACAACATGCTGCAGTTCCTGCTGTTACGCAGCTAGATTGGCTCATCCGGTGTATACTTCTGAGTTCCGTATAAAGTGCACCATACAATACATAATAACGTTATTAAAATATAAATTCGATTTCGCTAGCATACTTGTTTAAAACGAAATGTATGATAAATGAAATAATCATGGTAACTAAATGGCAGCGATAGCAGAACTCTGTAAGCGATTATGCTTCTACCTCTCTCTGGCGACGTTATTTTACAGATAGTCAAGCATCTGCTACCCTGTGCTGCTAGCTGTGTTGTAGATATCCATTAGCCGATTTGATCACACTTAATCTCTGGTAAAAAAAATCTCTTTAGAGTCAGAATTCCCGTTCAGTCCTGTGAAAGCTCATCCCTCAACACTTCTAATTGCTTAGATCGATGAGTACGTTCTGCTAATTCTAGCTTTACGTCCATTCGTTACCACCAGAGTGTGGCAGGGACCTACTCGAGTGAAACTATTTACTGACTTATTTTAATTCAACCAGTTACCAATTACCAACCTTACAGAGCTCTCGGCCTCGTCTCGATTGATTTCCCATAGCCAATCCAGATAATTTTTTCTTCGAGTCCACAGCGTAATCAAAACAATACCTATCAATATATAACATATGAATAAACAAAGTGTCTTCATATTTAAATCTTTTTTAATTTCTATTTTTTGTTTCCATTGGAAAAGGCATACGACCCCTTTTGACATCATTTCATCTATTTTTTTTACTAAACTTTAATACATATAATATTGTTAAAGGAAGAGTTAAATGTTAAAAAATATTATGGCTTTCTTTAGGTTTTTCGGAACATACACGGCAATATAGAAAATAAATTATGCCTGTATCTTCTTGTTAATACTTAAGTCCAATAATAAGAATATTTTCTTTCAAATCGTTAATCGTCAACCAACGAGTGTCGCCTCTCGAATCGAAATCGAAAAAGAAATGGTAATGATTAAGAAATGTAGCCGCTTATTCATTACGCCCTTCTGTTGTGTAAAGGCCTACGCTGTATGTCTGTACAGTGAGCGTCACAGTATTGTATTTTACAAAACTTAAAATACTTTTAATTAAAACATGAATAATATAACTTACTCCACAGACCGATAAATAAGCAAAGGAGCACTGTAGGCGCGCTATGAGTGATGTGCACTAAGTGAGCTTTGAAGCAATAGTCTCTGGTTGGTCGGATGGGGCACCAATGCATATTAGTGCAGGCGGGGCACATCTCTGAATGCAGAGTGTAGCGAGGGCGACATGTGGAATCGCTAGAAATAACAAAACAGTCGCCCGTTTTCTGAAACACTGATCATCCTAGTAGTTAACGTGTTTCAGAAACCGGGCGATAGTTTTTCTTGACAGAACGGTCATAAAATTTTAGCCAGCTTTAATTAAACTGAAACCTAACAACAACAACGAACCATTATTACAAAAAACAAAACCGGCTTCAAAAGTTTTACTCTCAATACATTTGCTATTTGATTTTAAAGAGTTCCGTGGTGAATGTCCGGCGTTCAAGATCCAATACCAATAAAATGACTATCTGACCACGTGGGAGTTAAGCAGGCGCCAATGAAAAATATATTTTCTTTAAAATTGGTTTAAAAATTACGGAGTTTTGAGGTAACAGACATAAAATTTATGAACAACCGGATTGAGAAACTCCCCTGTGTTTGAAGACATTTGAAAACTGACTTACATCACTTTTAAATAGTCCTTAAGTGACATAGCTACGATTGTCGTCAAAACACTTAAAATAGCTGTTACAAGGAGCCCTTTGATATAGTAATCTGAAAATGCAAAATAAAATGCCACCTGTAACAAAAAACATAGACTTGACGATGTTTATAAACAAACACATTCAATATTTAATAAGTATCTCAACATCCACTCACTTTTCCTCCTAAATACTCATTAATAAGATTAAAAGGTTGCCCTTTAATCATTTTAAGTAAACTGAGCCAAGTATGAAAGAGGACCTGCAAGGTTAAACAAGATATCCAAATTATAATATTTACTTACTGTTAACCAAACTAACTTTAAAAACGAACGTTTTACAATATTAATCTGATTTAGACTTTTGCTAGGATTACAAAGAAAAAATTTCTTGGACTAAATTAAAAACATTGAAGCAATCAAAACACGCATCTCCGTTCTTTGTTATTGAAATTCAATGACAGCACTTATTCAAGAAAAAATATTTCACAGATAGCCTCACTCAGAGACATACATTTGCTTAAATACTTAGTTGCATTATATTTATTATTTATAAAGTAACACATAATGAGCTACACAAAAATTACCTGCCGCCCGTTTACAACAGTTGGATCTTGGTCATCAACTAAAAAGTAAGGTCCATCGTGCAGTGGATAAGCGTCCAGTATTATTCGGTTTTCAAGTAATCTGTAATCGCATATTGATTAAAATTCCCAAATATTTGACTAGACTTTGAATATTTATCAGTCATAGTAGCTAACGTAGTGAGACATTATTTAAAAAGTGGTTCAGTGAATATGAAATTTATATTAAATTCCTAATTCCGCATCCACTGCATACTCTCTTATTGTAGGCAGAGAAGTGTCTTTATGAGGGTTGTATCTATTGTGAGGAATAAAGAAAGAAAAGAAAAGAAAGAACGCTTCACGTAAGAATTTTTTTTTATCAATCAATCATAAATCTTTATTCAAATAGACGCCTGCGCGTTCTTATGAATCGTCAAATTTTACATAAAAAATTATACATATAGGTTCGTAAGGTACCACCGATTCGGAAAGCAGTTTCTATTGAGAAGAAACCGGCAAGGAACTCAACAGTTAGGTACTCTTTTTCAAAATTATCAGTTTACAATATAAAATACCGGTATAATAGTCTTATTCTACGCTACGTGAGTATCAACAGTATTAACTCCATACATTGGCGTCGTCGAGATATCCCGCTATAGTGTAATATGCTTTGACCATAAGTTGACTTTTGATTTCACGTTTAAATTGATCAAGCGGCAGACTTAATATCGACTGTGGGATTTTATTACACATGCGCACATCTTGCCCCATGAACGACCTATTTAATTTTTGTAGGCGAAACAATGGCATAGTAAGTTTGTCCTTATTTCTAGTGTTTAATTAATGTCTGTCACTATTCTTTAGGTAAAAATTATGGTTATGACGAATATACAAAACATTACAATAAATGTATTGAGAAGCAACACTGAGTATATTAATCTCTTTAAAAATATCTCTGATCGAACTCCGGGCTCCGATATTATAGATTGCTCGGACAGCTCTTTTTTGTAGAATCAATATAGAATTCATATTGGATGCACTACCCCACAACAAAATGCCGTATGACAAGATGCTGTGAAAATAGCTGAAGTAAACAAGTCTGGCAGTGTCAATGTCTGTTAGCTGCCTAACCCTTCTAATCGCAAAAACCGCGGAGCTTAGCCTATTCGAGAGAGATGATACATGGGGACTCCACTGGAGCTTCGAATGTACTGTAATTCCCAGAAATACAGCAGACTCAACTGGATTAATGGGTACTTTATTTAATATTAAACTAAAACTTTGCCATATCATTTATTGATAGTTTTTGGATTCTATTACTAAGGTAAGAGGCAATGAGATTGTTGGCGATGCCACGAATGCCATAATAATCTAGTTTGTGAAGTAGGGTTTGTAAAACAGAAGAACTTTTGGGCAGACTGATGCTATTTCATTCACCACAATTTAAAAAAATATAGGTATTAAATTCCTTAAAGTTGATGGTAAACACCATATACTGCATAATAACTTCTATTAGAAATAGAAATTTGATTTCGTTAGCACACCTGTTTAAACCGAAATAATTTTCATGGAAACCAAATGGCAGCGATAGGAGAACTCTGTACACGATTATGCTTCTCTCCAAAGATGAATAATTTATTGGGCCCAGGTCGTGCATTCTGAAATAGCAAATAAATTCAATAGGCTGTGATAAAATATTTATTGTCGCTATTGGCAATGATAAATAAAACAGTAGCTTGCTTGGAATTTTATTTTATAGAGGCAAAAGGCCTTGCCTGCGGCGGTAGGTTTAAGTTACTGCCGTCTGTATACTTGTCTGTGAGGATGCAGTGACTTTACCAAACTTTAAAAGGGTCGATTAACCCATTCAACTGCTGAAATAAAAAGTACCAAAATAAACAATTCGGTCCATAAAGATGCCGTATCATTTTACTATTAAATAAACAATATAAAAAGATGGAGTACGTAATTGATACACGTGGTTTACTATTCATATTTTTTTAATTTTTATCTAAACTATGTATGATCTTGAGCGTGATTTGACATGTAAAAACATTTGGGAGTTTGACTCATATTTTTAGTAAAATTACCTCACGGCCTTGATCAGTTCCCTCTCATTTGCCATGCCTTGGAATTTATTTCCGACGTTTATAAATTCCTCATGGCTCTCCTTAAAATATTTCCGGACGTTAAAGTACGCGCCGTATTCTTGAATAATATGTGCGGGCGCATGTATCTTTACGAAAATCAGATGTTTATGTTTTGCCTTCTACAATTATAAAACACAAAATACACTTCAGCATATACGTAGACAAAGTAAGGATTTACCTATTTTCGTATATTATACACAGGCCCTAGAGGTAATAACGATATAGTTGTTTGAACATATTCCTAAAATTTTTTTAGTCGTAATTTCATTAGTCGTTAACTAGACGCCCAGCGAGACTCAATCCTTTTGTTTCACGCTGAAGGGAGGATTCAATCTGCTATGTAGTCTCTTCAACCCACGTGCACCAAATAATCCTTAAAATGCGAAAAAAACAATGTAGGTAAAATACCGAATCCGGAAGACATGAGTTCGATTAGCGCAACGGCGAAAAACGTTTCTTCCATTTTTGTACTATTTCATAAAATAAAAATATGTTACTCTGGCAATGGACGAGTATAAACCTTTTTAAGACAAAAACAAAAGCGTTTTTCGTTAAAACATTCAACGTCCAACGTTCACAATTAAGGAAAACCAGACATGTAGGTACATGTAAACGTAATGAATCCCCAACTTGCATTTTAAAGAACCATACCAAGTGCACTGGTCTTAATAAACGGTTAATTTTGATGATATAAACATTTTTTCTTCAGTTAGAATCATATATGGCTATACTTTGTTAATCAAGGCCACAAACTTGAGCATATATCAACAATTGAACATAATAGGCTACTTAAACAATTTATTTCATACCACTCCCGATTCTAACTCAATTTCAAGGCCTGCTTTTATCACATTGTTTAGAAAATTCACCCTGAACATTTCCACCTTCCCATCGCCATCGTCGTTGATAACCAGAACGAGATCTATGCGTTTCACACCATCTCTAAGGAAACCGGTAAAAATAGAATTCTGTAAGACAAATAAGTTCATTTACATATTGATTCATCTTTTCAGTCCCGGGTGGAGATAAACTATGTATAAGGTTTGGTGCCGCGGTTCTTAAGTTTCCATTTGAAACACGTATGTACGTGAATAATAATTGTTTCAAGTCTTTGTATTTATCTATAGACAAACTGTACAACCTCTGAAGGCAAAGTATGATATTCTCGTAAAAAGTGGTTTCTCATAATCATGGGTTCACTTTTTTTATATAGATATAGATTCGAATTGAGATTAAAATTTATCATCGTTCTAAAAAGTAAATGTACCTTTTGTTCCATTTCTCTTGGAAATTATTAAAATTAACCAAAAATATGTTACTTGTCATCAATACCAATAATATTAACACAGTAAACGATGTCACTTGTCATGTATAAGAATTTCAATATTTTTAGTTTTAAAAAATTTTCATAATTTCATCGTAACAACGTTCCGACCAAACGTTAAAAATCGAAGTAAATGTAAAAGTGGACAAAAGTTTGTGTTTACTTAGGCTGTATTACTTAATTTTCTGCCAAATATAATATTAGAATTGAACTTTTTTTTTTGGTAGCCGTATCACGGCTCAGTATCAGGGGCGCTCGCCTTTATTTCAATTTACTCGAGCAATTTGAGTTTGATCCCCGGTGCCAGCACCAATGAAATTGTTTATTTTAAATGCCGACTTATCACGTGCTGAGCGGTGAAGGAAAACATGGTGAATATTTTTGAAATAATGAAAAAAAATTATTTCAAAGATTGTGAAGTCCGCCAATCCACAGTGGAGTCGCGTGGGGGACGGAAGAGGCCTTTGCCCAGCGGTAGGACGTTTAAAGGCTGTTACTTTACTTTTATTTTGTATAAGTTGGCACAGGTAGGACAAATAGTGAATGATTATAGACACCTGAGAATATCTTCTGCAACACCAGCGAGTTTGCAGGTCCTTTGCTTGTGAGTGCTTTGCTAACTCTTTCTGAGGTACTAACTTCCCCGCTTGAGCAAGTCCATTCATGCAAGCGCTGCAAGACTATGTGTACTATAGTAACTGTAGACGAACGAAGAAAAAAACAAATTTAACAGTTTATAATAAATAGTATATTAAAATTTATTTCACAAAAACAAAATCCATAAGTCAAAAATATACCTTACAGGATTTACTTATATCTATTATATATTTTCACTTAATTTATTAATAATCTTGTTCATTGCGATTCCGAGCATGACAATTGTGTTTTTGATAAACTTAATTTTTTTTGGTTAATTGGCTAAATATTTAAGATGCCTTAGATGATAATTTAAGTTTCATAATTAATAAAAGTCCGATTAGTTCTATTACTTTGACTTTTATTGTATATTTTTATCAACGTCCGCAAATCCGACACTTTTTTCTACTATCATGCCAAGAATCAGAATAATTTGAAATCATATGAGACATATTAATTAAACGATAACAATAGTTTACGCAGAAACATCACTGAATATCTGATCAAGTGTAGATAAACAAATCTAGGGAATACTGGAAGTAAGTTATAAAATTACTTGGCCACAGACGCAAGTTGGAAATTATTTGACAGCGCACACAATTAAATTTTAAGGTAAGAATCGGTCTGGATTTAGATCTAGACCAGAAACGTCAACTCGTTGCTCATTATAGACTAGTTGCTATTTGGGACATAAACTAAGACACAAAAGTTACGACCTCTTTCAACTTATGCTGATGAACAATTTTTTGGAAAAATAGAGTTGGTTGTAAGGGGAAACATATAAAAACAAATATAAATACTAATTGTGCGTAAAAAATATGTAATAGGACAATGTTTTAATTTCCAAGTATAATCTTTATGAAGAAGCTATTTCAAGCATCTTCTCAACTGTGCAAACTTTCTCTCTTGGTTTGCCATTTTTTTTTCCTTGTTCAATTTCATAACTGTCAATTCTTTCCCAGCCTTTCCAATCGACGATAACATGATTTGATTTTAAAACATTTTTTCTAATCTCCTCAAATCCACCTTTAGCAGAGTTATTACTTAAGCTTTTGAAATCTTCACATATTGATTTAGCAACCAGAAAAGCATTACCCATTGTATGTAATATAACACCTACAGGGCCTGTACCAAGCCAGCCTGCAACATATAGTTTTCCTAGAGATGGTTTTCCGTCATCTTCAATGACACGACCATTCTCGTTTCTAACAAAGCCATTTGAATGAAATGGCAAATCCTTATCAACATTGATACTTTTATAACCAATGCTTCTAAATACTAAACTACATCCTAGAATTTCTTTATAATCAGTTGGTACACATTTTTGTTGTTCTAAATTATCTCCTACAAGTTTATTACAAAGCAATTCTATGCCTCTTACTTTATTTTTGTCGTCTGTTAAAAATTTATTAGGACTTCTGAAAAATATCGGTTTGAAACACTTCTCAGCAGCAACAGAATTATCACTCAAAGAATCTTTCAATGACTTCAACATAAGTTCAGTCAGACGTTTTCTCGGGCGTGCTAAAGTCTCAACTGTATTAGAGACTCCTTCAAAGTCTTTTTCTCTCCAAACAGTCTTACAGTTACGAAGATTAACTTGCTCTCTTAATTCTTTTATAGTAAAAGCTACTTGTAAAGGCCCTCTTCTCCCAACCAAATACAATTCTTTTACTTTAGATTCAGCTAAAGTAGAGAGAGCATGCTCAGTTATATCGGTTTTCCTTAAAATATCAATTGGAGTTAAAAGTATTCTTGCTACATCTAAGGCAACATTTCCCTGTCCAAGAATAGCTGCCGTTGAACCGGATAGGTCGACCTGAAAGAAACAAAATGGAAAAGACCACATTTACACAATGTAATACCTTGAAACGAGCAATTCTTGTGTGTATATACATATATATATATATATATATATATATATATATACAAGAATTGCTCGTATATATATATATATAATCGGTAGGTAATCGGGCGCTCCCGAAACAGAAGGCCGCGGTTCGTGTCACGATCATTTACACACTTATTTTTTTTACTTTTTTCTATAACAGATCATTGCTTTCTTTATTTTTTTTTTTTTTTATTAACTAATACACGATTTACCAAAAAAAGGTCCTCCAGGTACCTGTATATTAAGGCTTGATAATTCATTGCCGACACTATCATTAGGATGATAGGTCATTTTGATCGTATTTTAAATGCAACTTTTAAAATGCCCTCAAACAATCCTGCAATATAGAATATAAGTAACTACCGCCAGAAAAGGCGTAAATATTAGGCGCTGTATGCAGTCAAATAGGTTTTTCAAAGGTCTTTTTAACAAAATCTGTACATTTTATAGCACAAACAAAATATATCGCACATTGATAAGAAGAGTGTCACTATCCAAAAAAGCTATTTTTTCAGTAGAAGCACTTAAAATTTTAAAGTTTGTTATAGTGCTAATCTCTGCACTTAAGATTGAACATTAAAACATGTAGAAAAGAAAGAAAGTACGAAAAGATTGTCGCCGCTGTGGGAATCGAACCCACGTCTTCGGCAATGGCTAGAGTAGAGTCAGCGGCTAGAGCGTCAGGCCGCGATGCAATACTTCATGACAACTTACCGACACAATAAAAATAGACAAAATTAAATTACGCAAAGAAAAATCAGTTTTTATTTATAAAATATATTATATAGCAAAGTTTAATTCGAAATACTTAAACATTAACCTATCTGCGATTGGAACAGCTGGCTAAATAACATTTTTCAAACATTTTAAGACTAATATAAAATTATAACAGTTTAAAAAATTTTTAAAACTCACTCAATTTCTAAAAATAAAATAAAAACCTTCTAAAAATAATTATGAAGATATGAAAATAGAAACAAAGTTCAAATGAATATGTTTAATTATAAATTTAATTAAAAATCGAGATCAATAATCTAAAAATAAAGTAAGTTTTCTCAAAAATAATTTTTATGTAACTATCGAAATAGAAACAAAGTATGTATGAATATCACAATCATGTTTCATTGTTGTATTTTGTAATTAATTATTGAGATCTACAAGAGACTCCTAAAAGATACTATCAAAATAGTCAATCAACGATTTGATGTTATTTTTCTTTCTTTCAGCGGAAGGAAGTCTCGCTGCGTAAAGAGGTTTAAGTAGATTGTTGACATTAGGAACATGTGGTCTATCTACTGGTACTCTGATGAGCTAATACGGTAGATACCGTATTAGCTTGTAGTCTCATCTCGTTTAAAGTTCTGTTCTAAGTTAGAAGTCTTATAAAATGTATTGACATTAGCAGGTTCATAATTTAATTATTTTATCGTTTTCATAATTTTAATATCACCTATCATAATTACTGCTTCTTCCATAATCTTTGAAAATGAATTTTCAGTAACAGACTTAATATCGTAAAAATCACTATCGCTCATCACATTAACAATGTATGAGTTTCCTTTTTTCGTGCGTTCTTTATTGCTCGGATATTGGTCGGGAACATAAATAGGACCAGATCTTAATATATTTTTCACTTCTTTCTCAATTGTTGAAAGAACAGCGTCATCCTCATTTTGGGCATGACCCTTAATGAGAAATTATTGGCAAAGTTTTTACTGCTTACAAAATAGATCAATTGGTTTTTGTTGTTGCCCACAGCAGATGTCCTAGTAAAATTTAAAATCGAACTCTGGATGTAATAAGTACATTTTATTCTGAATATTTGAATACACACGTAATTCATTAAAACCTCTTCGACCTTCTATTTCTGTCCAAAAATAGCATTCAGTGTGATCGTTACCCAGTTCAGAAATTATAAAATTTAAACAATTCAGTTTACTTTTATAGTAAAAGATTGATATTTCCTTTTTAGGCAGGATCATAACTGCTTGCAAGTCATAACAAGAAACAATACAATCATTAATTTTTTTATCATTTTTTCTCTATTCTACTTTCATTTATCCCTATCGTTTAATTTTTCTCATTATTCGCATCTTCAAAAACACTGAAATTTATCAAAATTACGTTCTATTTCACGTTTTGTAAGATTTTTAAGAAATTTTAATAAATTGCTTATTAAATTTTTACGCGTCTCGGGCAGAAAAAAAGCATCAGATTGCTTGGCACGAACCGATTCAAAACCCAACTCAAAACAGTTACTACTTAAATAAGGTATTCAGATAATTGCATAAACACTTAATTTTTGATTCATGCCATTTAAGCAAATTACTTGAGAACTTGTATATTTGGATCGTTATAAAGACATTTACTAATTTATAAGACCATTCTGTGTATGAGCAGTACAGCTTTAGAAAATTATTAAGAATATTCATGAGAAGTAATTCATTACATAACAATTTATACTTTCGTACACATTTTCTTCTCTCCTCTTTTTTCAATAATCAGTAAGTAAAGATAAAAAAAAGGAATAAGCTAAGCTTATTTCTCTTAAAACTTAGGTTCAAAGAAAACTGTACTTGAAATAATTGAATGTACTAACCACAACTACAATAACAATGACACAGGTACAATTATACAAAAAGGGAAAACATTATAAATCATATTTGACAAGAACAAAATATGGTACAAAGTTTAAGGGTACCTAGGTAAAATGTGTGTTTGTCTTTTAAATTTAACTGACTGTCTCTGATCTTCTAATAATTAACTAATATTCTAATTGGTTCCTTTTTAGTTTCAGTGATTAAATAATTATGTATAGATTTTATTCTTTCATACCTTCAGGTTGGTATCTCTTGGATGTCCATTATACCAGCCAACAAAATTTCTTGCAGCCACTATGTTTTGCCCCTGTTCATTTTCTATTCCCAGGAACTTATCTTCCTCTGCTCCATATGTCTACATGTAAATATATTAGTAAGAGTTTTATACAAAATGTATTACCTATATAAAGATATATATCAACAATAAGTACCAAAAGCACAGCATCATAATGTTGTCTCAGTTGATATAAAGTTATATCTTTTCCTAAAGATATATTTCCATAAAAATTGATATTTGGTTTAGTTGCCACTTTGGTAAATTGATTTATAACATTTTTAACTTCCGGATGATCTGGAGCAACACCATATCTACAAATGTAACAAATGTGGAATCATATAACAATTTTAAAATCACAAACATTCTGTAAAAATCCACAAAAAAAAACAAACATTTAAGTACATCATGTCATTGTTGTCATACTCATAATGCACGACACATGTTGGGAAGGGGGTGATTTCATAATACCACACCTTGTCTCTGGGAGGATGAGTTGGGGCTTAGGTTAAGTTCCCGCCTAGTAATGGCGGAGGGGCTTAGTAGCCGTGGCTTGGTCACCCACGGTGAGCCAAGCTCACACTGAACCGGCCTTTGGAGTAAGTCCAGCCCAAGAGGACTGCTCCGAGTGAAATCATTGAGACCACTCTGGATGCGTGCTGGAGGGTGCAGGGGACATGTCGAATGTGGTAGAGGAGGAGCCACTCTCCCTGTCTTCTGCGAGACTGGATTCGGCGGGCTGTACCGCTGATGCAATGGTGGTGGAGCTGCTGGGGGAGAGGTGTTGGTATTGCGATACACCTTTCTCCCAATCCTCCGCGGCTGAAACGCGGTGAGTGGTGGAGCCACAGACCAGGTCCGCCACTGGGGGCTAGAAGGCTTGCTGCTTATGAGCACTGGCTCTCCTGTCTCCCATGGCCTCGAGTCACCGAACTTGGGGGAGTTTGTTGGCCTTGATAAAGGGGCCAAGTAGGGCTGCATATTTCATGTCTAGATGAGAGGGGAGGTCTCTCTGAGAAGGGCCTGCTACAGCGGCCAGCGCAAGCAGGTTAACAGAAGTGCGCAAAAGCATTCCCGTGGCCTTACCGATATGCGCCTGGGAAGTTTATTTTTATTTAAAAATTTATTGTTTACACCCCAATGAAGGCCAATAAGGCCAAACAAAAGGTTGCTAATAAGCATGCTCTTCCAGACAGAGAAGTGAAAATTAGACATAGGTGCAAAAATAATTCTAAAATCAATTTTAAAAATGAAAACAAAGCACAAAAAAGAAGAGCTATATTTTATATAAATATACTATATGCCAAAAGACATAGTTGTTTTTTGAGATTTTTAAAAGGCAAATATGGCTGGTCAAAGCGAAAATCATACTAATATTTACTTGAATGACTTATCACCTATCCCAGCAAACTACACGTCTAAAAAAAAAAAGCATTATTACCTACCTATTAAAATTAAAATTTTAACAAAACTCGTGCTACAGTATACTACAGCAAAGCCAAAGTTCGTCTTTTTCTATATAATACGATAAATCATTTTACAATGAATATCTCCGAAACTATTTATTTCCGACGGTTGAAATTTGGCAAATCGTTTTCTTATATTAGTAGGAACCTACAATAAAAATTACAACACCCTAGCTAAATGTACATTTATTAGTGACTAACCACAATATTTGATAAATTACTATGAAAAACTTACTAGAAGACAGATTATTTAATTAAATTCTTACCTTACTAAGCCAAAAGGTACTGGTAATTTTTCAAGAATATCAACATTAACATTATTTAAGTATTTGCTTATATGCATCGCCGCATAAAATCCTGCTGGTCCCGACCCAACAATACAAATGCGAGGAATGACATTGTTACCAGATGAATAGAATTTTTTGATTATATTCATGATATTAAAACTCATTCTACAAAACTATTTTCTTATAGGCAGTTCTCTTAATGAACTTCAAGAGTTCATTTATATTTACTTATAATGCTTACCGCGTTACTAAAAGTAATGTTTAATTCACTGTTTGTATTAATGCATATTGGTATGTAAGAATGTAGTTGAAGAGTAAGTTTTTAAGTTACTTTATAAATTAAAAAAAAAACTTTAAATGTAAACAGTCTGACATACGTCGACAATCAGTGAAGCCAGCTGACTGTGACTGACAGCTCTGACCTCAGTCTGTTATCACTGTCACGTAGGGATGGGGCGTATATACTGGCACAGGTATATATTAGGGATGAGGCGTATATACTGGAACAGGTATAAATACCCAGTATGAACATGCCAGTACGCACACCGGGTATGTACGGCAGAGTTCCATACCCTATAGGTATGGCTGGGTATGGCCGTCTCGTCCGACGGTAGCGGTATATAACGCTTGCGACAACCCGCCCGCATACCGGGTATGACGTATGTACGGCAGAGGCCCGTTCCATACCCGATAGGTATGGCTATGGCCGCCTCGTCCGACGGTGGCGGTATATACGCTCGCGACAACCCGCCGGCCGAATAGGTACGAAGTTCCCCGAACGCTTACGGCGGCTCTTTCCGATCATGCCCGAATTGAAACGTATGATTTAGGCATTTTATACCAAATATTTCCTTGAGATAAATTTATTCTTTATTTCTATGACAATTAGGTAGATAAATAATTGCGTAATAAGATTAAACAGTAATATTTATTTTGAATTACTTTTTTTTTATAATAGGGTTCTTTACGTTGGTAAAGATGGAGCTTAATTTAGACTGATTAAATCTCAATTAAAAAAAAATGATTGCTAAAAAAAACATCTAAATGTTCCAATTCCAACCAAATAAAGGTTCAATTCCATACCGGGTCTCCATTAGGAGGCCTGAACATAACAAATACCTATAGGTATTTTGATACTGGGTTTTAGCACCGGGTATACGGCGATACCCGTACCTTTGAGGCCGGGTATAGAATGTTGCAGGTATATCTCATGCCTACTGTCACGCCCGGTTTCTGAAACACTGATCATCGTAGATGTCAACTAATCAGCCGTCAAATGGCTTTTCAAATTTCATTTTAGTTGCCAAAAGGACGGTTAAACTCTCTAAATTGACCAGAATGATCTTCTAATGATCAGAAGGATCAATCCAAAGAGTTTAACCTAGCCATGTGCGATTCGAGTTATTAGATTCGAGTAACTCGAATCAAACCTTACGTTACACGCGGGGGCCTAGCGACTTGTTGCGAGTTGCACACGCGGCTCGTGCGCGCGGTTCGTTAGGCGTTGCAACTCGCATCAACTCGAGTTGAGTGAAATGCAAAGTTACGTTTCACACGCGCGCATGCAGTTCGTAAGGTGTTGCATCTTACTCGCATCGACTCGAATAGAACTCGGGTTAAGTCGGGAAAGGAATTGCGCGAAAACCGCGTTAAAAGTTTATTTTGATTTTTTGATTGACATTTTGTTGTTTAATTTTATTAGTTGACCGTTGGCGATCCGCGTACGAACTGACCTTTTTGATTTGTTAGTGATCTGTTGTGTTTTGTTTGTAATGACGTCAAATAACAGAAGTGTGGCGTGGGAATTCTTTGCTATAAAAACAGTTTTTTTTTTACTTTTTTTCGATTAGCAATCGACTATGTACAATTGATTTATAAGTACGACTTTGAGGTGATAGATGGCGGTGTTTTGTTACTCGTATTTTCTTAAGCACGATCTTGAGTCGCAGGTCGGGCGGAAAGTTAAACCGTCGGTCGCCCGACAGTTTAACCGTCCGTTCCGAGTCTGCGACTGCGGAAGTAATAGATTCACAAAGACTTGCTATCGCTCGATTTGCGTCATCGAACGTAGCTATCGTCTTGGGTTGACTATGTCCTGGGGGTCCAAGGCCCTGAGTTTGACCTCAAGACGATGCCAGTCCACTACGGATTTGGTCGGAGGGACCGCGCCGGTGTTCTGGCCCAGTTTACACAGGACGGGTCTGTAATCTGAATCTAGTTCATGGATTGTCTCTATCGACTCGATGTCGAGCGAGACCTCCTTGAATAACATGATATCTAGGATACTCGGTGTCGCGTGTTGGTAGTTGTCCACCGTAGGATACCTAGTGGGAGTCGCAGTAGCGATTATGCTAAAGTTTAAATTATCGTATTAGCTAAAGAGATGCTTTCCGTTGTTATTTAGGATGCTGTGGATGTCCCATGGCCGTGTTTGTAATTTAGATCTCCTGCAATTATCACGTAAGAGCCTAAGTTGAGTAGCGTATCTAGGTCGCTTGGTAATAAGGTTTTGTTCCCTGAGAGGTAGGCTGAGACAAGCGGCCTATGGATGGTGAGCGCTAACCTACACGCGGATACCTCTATATGGCTTAGCTCTGGAATGTCGAGCGGGCTACAATGCAAGGACCGTTTGTAATAAATTAAGGTGCCTCCCAGACGGTTTGCTAACCGGTCGTGGTGGACTATGTTGTAGTTTGCGATTCTGGGATCGCGAACACTAGATTTTAAGAAGGTCTCTTGCACTAGAAAAATATCTAGAAAAATATCGAAGGAAATCTGCGATTTCGTCCCTTTGACCCTTAATGCCGTTTGCGTTGAAATACGAAATAATATGCTACTAAAGCGCCACTCATTTAAAGTCTGATCTGAGTCAGCATTTTCCTTACCACTAGCCTCCATGGTTTGACGTTTACTTTAGCGACATGTTCATGTAATTGTAAACATATGTCAATTGTCAATTTTAGAGGTTAGACCATAAGTCCATAAGTATTAACAATAACAAACACTAATATGTCGCGAGCTGTTATAAATGTCGGTGATTATATTGTTATTCAAAAACAAAATTATAAGAAGCTTCATAAATTCAATAAGGCAAATTCATGTGTAAATATTGGTCGTGATAACGTAAACTTGTATGGCATAGATGGTTGTGAATATTTTTCAGTTTATAAGATGCTACCAAAAAATAATAAAAGGAACAGGGAGTATGAATTAGAATTAACTAAAGAAGCTATTGATCTTAAAAGCGAGATTGATGTGAAAACATCAGGTATTGATAATAGAAACATCTATGATGATGGTCTTTCTCAAAAGTTAACAGCAGCTGAAATTATTGAACTAAAAAGTGATGCTTTACGAGCTTCCGATATTGTAGAAACTCTTATATCTAATTCAAACACTTTTCATAATAAAACCGGATTTTCGCAAGAGAAATATTTAAGGAAAAAGGAAAAAAAATATTTTGAATTTATTCAAATTCTTAAACCTAACTTAAGGATGATAACTGAGATATTGTATAAATTAGACCCATCAAAAATACAAGGTATAAGGATGGACACATTATCACAAGTAATCACTTTATGTAACATTAATTGTGATGGCAATCACTTATTGTATGATTCTGGGTCAAATGGTTTACTGGCTGCAGCACTACTAAGTGCAATTGGAAAGAAAAGCAATGGTAAATTAATTCACATGCATCCTGGTAATATGTCTCAAAAACTAGCACTTATGGCTATGAATTTTGATAATGAACAATTTGAACGGTGCATTTCAGTAAATGTTTATTCAGCACTGCGGCAGTTTCATCAGGGATGTGATACTAATTCAAATCATACAATTTCTAAAAGAGAAAACTTAGAAAGTAATGAATTAAAAAGAAAAGCAGATCAAAATAACTTGGATCATCAAAGTAAAGTTGCGAAACTTGAGGACTCTACAGATGTTGCTAACAGTAAAGTGAAACCAGAAAATGAAGATGATAATCATGTACAAAATGAACCAAAAAAACCTAAATGGCACTACTTGAATATAACAGCTTCGAAACTTTTATGTGAAAAAGTTGATTCATTAGTTATTGCTTGTAAAGAAGATCCCCAAAATATATTCCATGAATTGTCAGGTTATGTAAAACCTGGTAGACCATTTGTTATATATTATAATGTAGCAGAGCCTTTGCAGCACTTATATATGACACTAAAATCACAAAATAATGTTGCTGCCCTAAAACTAACCTGTAATTGGACAAGAAACTATCAGGTATACATATTTTTAGCACATGAGCTATTTGTTATTATATATTGTTATTTAAACCAATTTATAGAATCTTTAATATAATAACTATTTTGCTTTCTGACATTATGAACAGTTTTGTAGTCTATGGTCATGGGTTACTCTGAACATCAGGAATTAAAACCAAAGTTAGACATGATAAAATCCATAATTGCATAATACAAGAAATAATTACATCAAAAACAAATTAAAATAATCAAACAAAGGTAAAAAATTTAAATAAAATATTAAATATCACATCTTTGAAACTTTATGACGAGCAAAACTATTGCACTTCTCTGATATCATTAATCTCGCAACATGACATGTCGTGACACTCCCTCTACACATTGAGTACAAAATGTAGAGGGCACATACTAATTTCCATAAAAATAAAAATTTCATTGGTACAATCTAAGATCTTTGAGACTGATAATCACCAATCCATGACCTTCTACAATTAATAGTTATTAAACCTATTTTGTTTTTAAAAACTGAAACAAATGCATGAGTTGCATAAATGGTAACTTAATTTTATTATCAAAAGAAATTTTTCTTTTCTAAATAATACTGGTTATGTAATATTCTTTTCTTCTACAGATACTACCAGAAAGAACACACCCGGAAGTTACAATGAATGGTTCAAGTGGCTTTTTATTAAGTGGATACATACTTAAATAATCATCATCATCCTTCGGCCCTTATCCCACCTAGGTAGGTTCGGTACAGTGTATGAATCATGTTGTAAGTGGTTTTGGCTACATTTTTTATGACCGGCCGCATGACTGACCTCCTTGGAAACATACTTAAATAATCAAATATAATATAACGTTTATAATAATAAAGACAATTTTATACAAATATTTAATGCTTTCATTTGCTCAAATGCACATATGATATCAAACTAAATGCAATATATAAATTAACAATGGGGTTTGTTGTAAACGTTTTTCATTGTAATATACGAAATATAAGAATAGAAACTTAGACTTGTGGTTACATTTTGAAAAAAATTATATAAGTTTTTTTCAATTAGTTGCTTTAAAGAGCTCAAATTTGGATAATTTGTAATATGTAACATCATTGCCAATGGTATATAATTCAGGTTTAAAGTAAGTCTGTGTAACAGGAAGGAGTATTATTAATCACTAAATGCATCAACTGTGTGCACTTGCAGTGACATCGTTTTTTTTAAATTATGGATAAAATTACCTTTTGGATAACCAGTGATAAAGACAAAATTGTACCAAACATTTAATTCCATTAAATTTTTTTTTACATAAATACCCATATATACCATGATAAGATGTTATACTACCTAAATCAATATACTCTTAAATTTATTACATTATAAAATTAAAAAATATACAATATTTGATTTCCACTCCTTAAAGACCAAGCTTCTTAATGCACCAGTAATGTACAAGGAGCATAACTATACCAGAATTTACTTGGGCGAAATGGTGAGGAATGCTTTATCTTGATGTTTTAATAACATTTATACAATATATTCGAGAATTGTAAAGAACTGACAATCATCCCAATTTGGCACTCAAACCCGGTGCACTATGTTTAACGGCAGTGTGAAATATGTACTTGTGTAAAATATCTAGAAATGTTTATGACCATTAATTCAACATAAACAGTGAAACTATGAATCTGACATTTGTGTATTGTAAACAGTACCTTTAGGAGTCAAACTATGAAACAAATCTTCTGATGAAGATATATATGAATTCCCCTTAAGCAAATAATCATACAGGCTAACGAATTTCGCCAGCAATGTTGGCTAAATATAAATTTAAAAAAACCCTAAGTGTTTCATGTTTTCAACATTTATAAAAGTGTACCTTGGTAAAAAAAATATCTGGCTCATTATACTTCTGTATAAAATCTTTATTTGAAGCTAATGGAAATTAATGCCAGTATCACAAGCACCAAAATGTGAAGATAACATTGACCAACTATTACAAAATTTTTGCTAGCAAGGAATGTTACAAATCAGTTGCAGTTACATAATGAATTGATTAATTGGATGTTACTATGAGTTCTGCCATAAACTTATTCAAAGATGTGCACTTGATTTAATACAAAAAGGAATTAAATAAGATAAATTACTCATACTTTACAGCAACTTATAATAATAAAAATAAAATATTTCATAAATACCATATAATTTCTTTAAACCCTAATATTTATATTTAAAAACGAACCATAATAATATTTTTTATCAGAATATTACCATATAACAGTGACAACAGATTTGTGACAAGCATGTTCTAAACAATAAGCACTAGATATGTTGTGTCCTATAACCCCTAAAATAGGATATGACAATGACTAACATAAATAAATGAAAATCTGTTACTTGCAAATCAATAAAGATTAAGACCTGAAAACAATGCTAATTAAAGTTTGATGAATGAAAAATGTGCAAGTTTCAAAATATAAATGGTTCTTTAAGTAAATCATAATAAATACAAAGGCTTTTCTAATTCATGATAATATGATCAATAAATAGTGAGTAGTCATTGCACTATTTTATTGATTGAATTTCAGACATTGCTATATTTTAATGATTTTTTTGTTCATTTTTGTTTCTTATTATTTCATTCAAGTTCATAATATAATGGTTTAAAATATACATATATTATTTAAGGGCTATGCTTTAAATCAATAAAATTGGTGCTCTACATTTTAATAAATAACATATTTATAATATTACTCCTTTTGCAAACAACTGAAATATGTATATTTGTTGTCTTACAACTGAATGAACATAAATTCTATTAAAGTAATACTTAAAAAAGCCACTATGTTCATACTTTGTTATACCGTTTTTAATAGAAGAAAGTATTTTTTTTAATTATCACAACATGACTGTTATATAAACCAAGATAGTACCAAATTTCACCAAAAACAATCAAAGATACTGCTACTTCATTTCAATTTGGGGTTATATAAAAATAAAAAGTGAATATATGATATTCTAATGCAGTATCTTTGTTATTTTAAAATTTTAATATTACATTTAGGAATAACTTTGGTATTGGTGTTAACACATCAAAAAGCATACAAAGCTGTGATAAAGGTAGCACACAAGACTGTAGCAAATATTTTTAAGAGACAAACAAATGTCTCTGCTTCAAATAGTCACATGGGCTCGGACATGTTACCTATTACACTACTATAACTCAACTATGAAGAGTCTTCATCATACCATGTGCGAAAGTCACAACTCTCATCATAGTCATCCTGGAACAAAGCAAATAAACAGTGAATATTTATAGGTTTTCACCTTCATTTTTGATTTACACAAATACCAAATGAAGTAAAAAAGTAATTATGTTGAAACTAATAAAATACTGACCGACATCCAAGCATGGTCAAGCACATCTTCGGCAGCGAAGCGAAGCTCTGGTTGGGGTCGAAGCATATTTGCGACTAAATCAATAGCTCCAGCTGATACCCGTTCCCAGTGATGTGCAGGGAACTCAAGGCGAGCAGAAAGTATTGCATCAAACAATTTTTCTTGATCGCCATCAGGAGAAGAGAATGGAGGAAAGCCACATAACAAGATGTAGAGAATCACGCCGGCCGCCCACACGTCAATCTATTGTATAAATTAAGAGTTTAGGTCATAGAATATTTTATACAAGGTTTAAAAACATGACATATTAAATTAAGCATAAAACAAAGAAAAGGTAAAATTAACCTTCAAACCATAACCAGTTTCTAAGAGTATTTCTGGAGCTACATATGTTGGAGTTCCACAAACAGCATGAAGTGGTCGCCAAACTTCAACGGCAAGGCCAAAATCGGCCAGCTTAAGCCCGCGAATACTACCATCTGGACCAACTTCCACCTTAAATCAAAGACAAAAGTTTGCTTTAAATACTCAATTAGAAGCCACTTTATTTTAAAGTTTATGAGTTTAAACTAAGACTCCTCTGTTTTACTATTTCAAATGGCAAATTGATAACCTTGAGTAGCAAAAAACTGCTATTCCCAAAAAAATATGAAATGAAATATAAAGTGCTCTTTATTTCATAAATAACATAAGCCAAAGTTTCTAGTGGAACACATTTTTTTCTTAATTAAATAATACCATAACCATGTCGTAAATTATTGTTAATAGATGATCTTACCAAGAGGTTTTCAGGTTTGATGTCACGATGCACGATAGAAAGTGAGTGAAGATATGCAATAGCTGATGTTAAATGACCGATTAGCAAACGCGCTTGTGGTTCAGAAAATTTACAAACAGCTGCAATGCTATCAAATAAATCGCCACCTAAAATAGGAAACCAATTAATCTTGATTGATGCAAAATGTTTATTTCTTAATTTTTATACAAATTTTCATTTCATTTTTCTATGTGAAAAATAAATAGGAAACAATTTTTGTCTTAATATAATTCATACTTGTATTTAGAAAGCTTGCATGCATTATAAATTCTAGTTAAATATTTTGATGCATGAAATGTGATGGGAATATATTAGAAATGAATTGAATAATACATACCACTCACTAATTCCATGACAAGGAACAACCATTCGGGACAGTCTTGTTCCTCTATAAGGGAAACAATGCGTGGATGGCATAACTTTCTCATTACGCGTACCTGTTTTAAATTAATTTTTATGTATGCAACTACAAACCTTATTTAATGGGTAAATAAAATACGTAATATACAGCGTGTCCTTACAACCGTGACAATAAATGAACACACATATTGGGGATAAATGTTTTAAATTATATTAAACATTTATATTCTTTAAACATCAATATTTACAGAATTATTAAATTTACCAAAACAAACAATTTTAGAACATCCTTACGTATAAAACTGTAACGTAAAGTTCATTTGTACAGGTCACAAAGTATATGAATGGGTTGAATGAATTAAAAAGAGATAAAACATACTGTTAGAAGGAGAGCTTTGTAATGCGACGGTGTGGCAACGAATGAAAAAGTCTTTGAATGTATGAATCAGTCAGTGGTAGTTGTATAGGCTGTTACAAATTAGTTTGTGTTTTTTTTAACCGACTTCAAAAAAGGAGGAGGTTTCTCAATTAGACCGTATATATTTTTTTTTATGTGTGATCGGGGAACTCCGTCATTTATGAACCGATTTTGATGATTATTTTTTTGTTAGAAAGGAGATATCCCAAGGGCGGTACCATGATGACGGAAACTCCGATCTGATGATGGCATCCCAGAGAAATCGAGGGCAAAGCTCAAATGTTATAGGCGTTGATAATGTTTTTTTTAATTTCCTGTTTGAAGTCGGTTTTTTTTTGTTCAAAATAATTTACATAATTAGTTTTTTTTGAAAAATATTTTTTTTTAATTATGGATTTTTTTTAAAGTTAATAGTTTTTTATCATTATTGGCATGTAACGTTAGACGTGTGTTCATTTATTGTCGCGGTTATAACGACATGCTCTATATGTAGAACATTATATGCATACCTCTGCCTCAACATAGTGTTCCTTGCCTTTGCACTTTGCTTTATCAATTATTTTAAGTGCGTATTCCTTGCCACTAACTTTGTCTTTGCATATTCGTACAACAGCAAAGTTACCGTCACCTGGCGATTTTTATAAAGGTATTGTAAATTAATTTTTTCATAATATAATTTCAACAAAAATTTTATTGATATACAGGGAGTTTTTTTTTGAAAAATGCCCAAATTTTCGCAGGAAGTTGACTCGTTAGTATAATCGTTTATGGAAATAAAAACAAACTTTCTTTTTTCAAAAAACTTGCCATTCTATTCCCTAAAAAACAGAACTCGTTGATAATGCGGTAGTCATTCATAAATACCTAAATTTTACTGTGCACGCAAACAAACAAAACTAAGCGCTCGCGATAAATCGGAGACGACCCGTGCCGGCACGGCGGCGGCGTTAAAGCGTTGCGTCATAAACTCTTTGAGTAAAAGTGTTCTGTGGTCATAAAACTTTGTTCTCTTAACCCTCCACCCGCCCGCGGTGACCGCTCTATGCAGCCGCTGCCCACTGCCCCTCGTAAGTTTCAATTTGACCGTGACCTAATTAAGGTCGCGCGTGCTATTTTTAGATTTGCTTATCTCTAACGATGTCGAAACAACAACTCAGTTATTAGAACCGCGAGTATTAAGAGATGGTACGGTGCTACATTTTAAGTGCTGAAAGTTTACATGATGCGCAAAGACTTTATGAATGTGACTCTTTACCGCGTTTAAAAAGACAGGCAATGAACTCAAGTGTACCTAATCGAAGGACGATTTTGGCATCCAACCAAAGGTTATTAGATTTTGGACAATTTACTACACCGGCGTATACAATGCTCAGAAACAAGTAATGTTAAAAAATAGTTTGAGAAAGCGTGCTCAGCTTTGTATTGAGAGAAATGGACTCCATTTTGAACAATTGTTAAAATATCAGTGAGTGTTTTTTGTGACTAAATGAATACGTAAGTTTAATTGTTGTAAATAGTTGATTCCACTTTATAAATACGCCATAATAAGTACGAACAATAGTGTGTGATTTTAAAATAATTAAGTAGTATTTTAGTATTATGACGACCCTTTATTATGACGGTCCTAAGCCCGTTCTAAGTATGAAGGAAAATAGGAATCATATAGGATATGAATCGGATAGGCGTCGATTTATGCGTGTATACTTTTGAAACAAACTTGTATGCGTGTTAGTTATGAATGATCTCGCGTAAAATAAACGAGTTGCGAATGTAATTAATTACTTACGAGGGATTTTAATTATTTATCATTTTTTATAAATCATTATTTATATCTAGAACTTAATTTAAAAAAATGGTTACACTTAGAAAAGCTTTCCTGGATATAAAAATTAATTGCTGTTCGTTAGTCTCGCTAAAACTCGAGAACGGCTGGACCGATTTGGTTAATTTTGGTTTTGAAATATTTGTGGCAGTCCAGGGAAGGTTTAAACTATGAGAAATTATGGAAAAATTGCATGGAAAATCGAAACAGTGTTGCTATTACACTATATTTTATTTTCCCATACAAACTGTAACTGTCAACTGTATCTGTGTAACCTTTCAAACACAATGCGTGCGTTCCGAAAATTCTCTTTCTATGTGTTCACATTTTGTCATTCCGTAGAAATATTTCATATGGCAAAACAATGTTTGCCGAGTCAGCCAGTCTCCAATATATTTCAAACTAGCGACCCGCCCTCCTTCTCGCGGGTGTAATCTTTTATTCATATGAACCTTCCCCTTGAATCACTCTAATCCTTTGCGTAGTTTTAAAGATCTAAACATACATAGGGACAGACAGACAGCGGGGCGACTTTGTTGTATACTACGTAGTGATAAAAAAACAGTTTTATAATGGACATCAAACTTATAATCTTGAATTCCAATGATGAACACTAATAAATTTAAAGTTTCTGGGCCTTTGGGTATGAATTAATAAATATCAAGTCATCTTACAATACAAATTATTATTCCGAATACAGTGTTTGTCTGTTTTATTTCTCTATGCAAAACATCTCCGAAAAATATTAATTATTACTTATGTTTTCAAAAAAGAAAACACTCAGAACATAACTGTGGTAGTGCCACGTAAGTTTCTCATTGTTGCACTAATGGGCAGGTCCATCAAACCCTAGCTCGCTTGCCACCTTCTCAAATAAAGAAAAAACATATTAAGGTGCACATTTTAACATACCAATGATTTTTCCTACAGAATACTTTAGGCGAAGCGGATGCGGCAACAGTTGCGAGGCGGCGGGTTCTGCGTCACCCCGGGCTTCGCTACTTGCGGCCGCTCCGCTTGCCTTCACTGGCATACGAGGCTTCGGGCCCGATCTGACAACAAATATTATACAATCACATATGACATACTATGAGAGTTATGCTAAGAACTCCAAAACTAGCAAATATACTATGTACAGAGTGCAAAGAGTTCCATACTGCTGATGCATATTTTTCTGCAAGGATTAATTTAAGTCTTAGGTCTTAAGGGAATGCGAAATCATACCTAGAATTTTTTGTGATTGGATTTTTTCTGCACTGTAGAACTGCTTTGCTTTCCTCAAATTCCAATTCAAAGTCCTCTTGATTGACTCTATAAAGATGTTTAAGTAAAATAATTTATAAAATTCAGTTCATAATATCACTTCAGTAATACAAAAAATTTGCTTTGGAAGAAAAAATACTTCTTCTGACATTAATGGCCTATCTTATTAGAACCTGCCAATATCATGTTAGTATTGAGAGGGACAAGTATTCAATAGGTACAATAAACAAAGTAAAAAAAGACCAAATCCGATTTTGTGTGATACCTACAATCTATAACAAAAAAAAAGAATATTTAGCATCCCATTACCAAAATAAGTTTGTAACTTTATATCATTAGTACCTATTGTTAGTTTATAATATGTCAACAAAGGACATCTACAGGAAGAGGAATATGATCATAGAGAAAATCAAGGCAGGCCTGGCTATGGCAAAATATATGGCTAATGGAAACTTCTAAGGCCATTAAGACCTCATTTACAGTCAGAGTATTCCCTTATTTTTGTTTTTTTTTTATTTTCAGTTTAGCATGATGCATTGGACTACAAGGGTGACCTAATTTGTCAGTGATAAACAGAGATGCGAATTTTTTGTCTCAGATTTCATGACTAACAATACTGTAAAGGACTTAAAAATTGTAAAAAAAATGTCTTTTTTTGTATAAAAATTATCGAAAAATTTTGAACTGCGTCTTCCTAGTACCTGCGTCTCTTGCATAATGTCTATTTTAAATGGACCTTAAGCCTATCCATAATGAGTGCCATAATTAGCATCAAATAGTAATTGCTATCACGAACATGAGTAATATATGATAACATGAATATAGGTGCAAAAAGGTGATGGGGACTTTAGCTTAAAAATATTTAAACACAATCGCTTGAACACACTAGCTCTTATTCAGAAGGGATTAGTTTGGTCTTAATTGTGAGGTTCTCATATATAACTGCTTTAAGGATGGATATTGATTCAGCTGTGAAACTGAAAACTGAAGAGCTAGAAGGCGACATAACATTTAAAACAATTCTATACTTAAGAAACCAAACTACTGTTCCCATTCATTTTAGTCCCAGTTTAATTGCCCATTTGTATCAGTTAATTTCTTGTCTATGCCAAAATTTAAGTACAGTTTTAAAGGCCTCTAAAAGGTAGAAAACAGTGGGTTGTTGTTATCTTGAAAGATTTGGAAGCAGATACATTTTAAATATGCTTTATTTTTATTTAATAACTTTCACATCTTTGGCTTTGGATTCTAGAGTTTTATAATCTAAAACCACACCAAGTAATGTTGTATAATTTTTATAATACATCACAAATCCTCCAAAATAATTCTGGGGTATATATTTGTCATATAAATATTACACATCTCTAAATAAAGAAAGACTTCTTCAAATTTGTATATTTCTAGTTGGAAATCCATAATCACATTATAAATGTGTCGCAATGGTGCGATATTAATGTACGAATTTTGTGTGTTGAGATAGTTAGTTTCCATGTGAAAGGGCGATTCTAGCACTTAAAAGCTATACTGTAAACAAAAAAAGTTTAGACATAGTGAAATAGCAGGAGATACGACAGAGTATTTTTCAGTAGACACAGTTGGACACAGAACTTTTTAGCACACAGAACGTTTCTAAATTCAATTGAGCTGTAATGTGTACCTTCGACCAAAAAAACCTTTAGGGTACTTCTGGTTGACCTAGAATTGTGAATTTTGGTTAAAAGCAAGGTCCTATAGCACAAGTAAAGGGAAAATTTACTCATTTCATTCATTCTTCTTATCAGAAATATGCGTAAAAATTTGGTTTTAAGTAAACAATCAATGTGGGCACTAAATCTGCTGCCGGATCTTAGACTACATGGTCAATTGCATGTAGCATGTTCACGTGTCCCCAACGAAAAGATATACAGGAGAAGTCTAGTCTAAAGTAGCGTATTATTATAGTGCTCTGTTCTGTATGCCAAGCTGTGTATGTTTTTGACTTTGATTGAATTAGAGATAGTTCACTATTTAAAAAAAACTAATTACCTTTCATTCCCATAAGCAAAGAATACATCTTCATCCTCAAAGAACTGGTGCAGAGCAGTAACTGCAGAGCCAGACTGAGTGAACACTTTACGAACACAACCAGTATCAAGTTTGATACACTCTGTTATAGCAGCCAAAGCATGCTCCAGAGTGGGACTGTTACGCTTGTTAAGTAGTAGTCGACATACCTGAAGTAGGAAGACAAATATTGTTGAATATATAAAAACAAGTTTTCGAAGGGGCTACTTAACAAGTTTATAACAAAGTTAAATTTAATTCCATTTAATGATAATAATTTATGATTTTCTAAATTTTAAATAATACCTTCCGCGGTTTGACACCATTCCTAATAATAGTCACTATACGGGGGCGAACTACATTGTCTCCAGCAGGGCTAACTCGTGCTGTCCCATTACCAGTAGTATTGTTACTACCATTTGTCTGAAAAAATGTCATAAAAAATCTAACATTTCAGACGTTTATATTAGGATATGTAAAAAAGTTTTAAAAAAAATATAAGAATTATAAATATATAAATATTTTCGCACACATTTTTACACAATGTTAAAAATAATTAATATCTTAATATCTTTTGTAAATAAGTACATATGAAGAAAGAGTTCTGCGATCCGCTGGAGAACTAGTTTTAGAACCACACGCGTATAAAACCAAATATTACAAAAACTCCTTTACAGTCAAGGCCATCTGCTTGTGGAAAGAACTTCCTCAGCAAATTCGTCGTGAAAAGACGCCAGACTTCATATATATTTATTTATGTTAATTAAATATATTATATATTTATTTATGTTTATGTATGTTTATTATAATTTATTTTGTTATTATTAAGTAAGTTTATTAAGCAAACCACTTCCCACTATTCATAAGTTTAATTTTCCTTGTCCTAAGGTAATCTGGAAGAGATCGCACTTTAGCGATAACACCTTACTGTAACTAGCTTTTAAGATTTATTTTATATTAACTGTATAAAACTTTTTGTGGTGTACAATAAAGTATATATAATAATTCATTCCAGATTATCACCATTGTTTATCATAATGCCGAATATTGTTACGAACACACAAGGAACAAAGAAACTAGCACCATCTAGCTTCAACCAGTAAAACCACTCACAAAGACAACATAAAACCGCTACTCAATACTAGATGGCTCAATACTAGAGGAACTACTGTGGAACTATATAGAACTATAGTATCGTAAACCGGGTACATTCGCTAACTTTCCAGAATCACGATCACGTTCGCGCGAGACCGGTACGTTCCAGGAAGGAACTTTCTGGAATAGTCTGGGACTCGTCACGGCCCATATAAAAAGCAGGGAGGCGAGCGAGTTCAGTCTAGTTTGAGCTACCTTCGAGGCGACTTGGGAGAGAAAGCTAGTGATCAAGAGCGACGATACCAGTGAAACCTACGACTTGGCTACGACCTAGGACATCGTTAGTGCTTAGTGTCTGGACCTAGTGATTTGTGTTGGACCTAGTGCTATTGAATAAAGTCTTGAAAAGAGTCAGCAGGTCTTTCTCTCCAAATCCTTCGAACCCTAACACGTAACAACTGGTGTCAGAAGTGGGATGGGTGTGAGATGCCATTGACTCCGAGAGAGGACTTCAAGGAGGGCGTCAGGACAAGAGCTGCGTAGGCCACACCCACTGGGGACCAAGCTCCGCTCACTGTGGGTCAAACCCCGCCCACTGGCCCCACCTACCAGGCCTCGCCCTCTAACCACGCCCCTCAGGCTCCGCCCACCTTATCACGCCCACCAGACAAGCCACGCCAACCAGTACGTATTGTTACAACTACGTTAACCAACGTAGCTTCTGCAGCCCCTGAAGTGGCCCATCAATTAGGAAGTTTAATTGAATTAATGGAGCTACAAAGGGCTGAAATTCAAGCAATGCAAGCGTCACAAGAACTACGATTCAAGAGTTTCAAAAGGATGAAATCAGAGCGATTCGAGAATCATCGGTTGAAATTCTGACGTTTCATAAGAAGGCGCAAGCGTCTATGTGAAATAAAGATATTTTATTTATTTATATTCACAACAGCAACAAAAAGACCTCCTAGAAAAAGCGCTTTGGGCTATAAATGATGTTAGTGACACGATGATTAAACTTCGAAAAGATGTCGACGTAGTGGAAGAACGAGTTACCGGGTTAGGATTGGATGTTGAATATGTGAAAACCGGCATCACTGAACTACAGAAGAAAGTAGTGCGTCTTGAAACCACGGGAGTCGCGATGTCTAATGAAACTACCGGAGTGGCGCAAGGACCAAGAGTGAAAGTGCCGCCATACGACGGCACTTCTTGGCACGCTTATCGTCGGCAATTCCAGATTGTTGCGACTGCCAATGGATGGACGGAAGAGCAATGCCTGACGGGTCTCACTGTTGCGCTCGGAGAGCAAGCTTTGTCGGTCCTGGAAGCACTGCAACATACAGGAAATGGGTTCCAAAATCTAATGGAGGCACTTGAATCCAGATACGAGGACCGACACCTGGAGTATGTGTTCCGTGCCCAACTGCGTGACAGAGTCCAACGCTCAGGAGAAGGACTACAACAATGTGCGTTGGAAATTGAAAAACTCATCAGGAAGGCACACCCAGGAGCCGACACCAAGATGGCATTTGTGGACGGAATCAAAGACCTTGCTAAAGGAAGCATTGGCGCACGATTTGGAGGTCGAGGCTGTTCGCTGTGACATACGGCAGACCCATAAGATCCACGAGGTCTCTGAGGAAGTCAAGGAGGTTAAGGCTCCCAAGAAGAAAATTTCTGGACCCATATGCTACAAGTGCGGCGAGAAGGGCCATCTTCAGTTCAACTGCCCGTAGAAAGAGACCCAGATGGCAAGGATGAAAAGGATCGAGGAAGGAGGATCAAATAGAGGAGCTGAAGAAGCAAGGGGCTTCAGGGAAAAGAAATAAAAGCCAGGACTAAGGGGCGAAGGCTAGCTGACGCGGAGGAAGCCCCAGCAAATAGCAACAATTACGGATTAGTGGCTTCTTTACTCGATGACTGCAAGAGTAATCTGACTTATTCGCAGGTCATGAAAGCTAGGAAGATTTTACAGCGCTACGCGAATATCTTCTCCAGTCAAGAAGGGGACCTTGGAAGTCGATGGAATCCTCGATGGTTCAGCACAGGATAGATACCGGAAGCGCGAGACCAATTCGTCAACGAGCAAGACGGAGACCAATTGCAAAGGAAAAAGAAGTTGAAGGACTTTTGGAGGACATGAGAAGGAATAAGATTATTAAACCGTCTACAAGTCCGTGGTGCTCACCTGTTGTGTTAGTGAAGAAGGAAGATGGTAGCACGAGATTTTGTGTGAACTATAGGCGTCTCAATAATGTCACTAAGAAGGACAGTTACACGTTACCTCGAATCGACGACACTTTGGATACCTTGAGTGGCATGAAAGGGTTCTCGACCCTAGACTTGAAACCTGGATACTGGCAGGTGAAGATTCATCCAAAAGACAAGGAGACGACAGCTTTCTCGAACGGTAAGGGTTTATGACAATTTAACGTCATGCCCTTCGGATTAGGCCACCGCGTACCGTCCACAGTCCGATGGAATGGTTGAAAGATTTAACCAGACCTTTGAGAGGCATTTGGCGAATTTGGTAGACGACAAACAAGAAGATTGGAACAAGTATATACCTCTCTTATTTCTGTCCTACCGAACCGCCGAGTATGAGAGCATAAAAGGTACCCCGGCGTATGTCAATTACGTTAGAGAACTACGAATAACAGTAGATCTATTAACAGGAGGGTCACCGGAGGGACCAAAGACCGTACAAGACTATGTCTGCGATTTAAGGGAAAAAATGCGCTATATACACGCCTTGGTTCGGGAAAATGAGTTACAGTCAAGTGAGAACATGAAAACCAGATACGACCGGAAATCGAACACGAGCGGCTTCGAGGAAGGGTCACTGGTGCGGCTGCATAACCCAACTCGCCGGAATGGGAAATCTCCAAAGTTACAGACCAAGTGGGACGGTCCATACAAAATGGTTACCCGACTGAATGATGTCACTTATACGATTCAAAAGCAACCAAGAGGGACATTCAAAGTGGTACTCATAGACCGTCTGGCGCGTTACCATGGCAGTAACAACGATGCTCGGGACGAGTATCTCTAAGAGGGGAGTAGTGTTACGAACACACAAAGAACAAAGAAACTAGCGCTATCTAGTGTCAACCAGTAAAACCATTAAAGAACAAAGACAACGTGAAACCCCCTACTCAATACTCTGGTATTTGAGGAACTACTGTGGAACTATATAGAACTATAGTATTGAAAACCGGTTACATTCGAGAACTTTCCAGAATCACGATCACGTTCGCGCGAGTCGGGTACGTTCCAGGAAGGAACTTTCTGGAATAGTCTGGGCCTCGTCACGGCCCATATAAAAAGCCGCAGAGCGGGGAGCGAGTATAGTACAGTTTAAGCTACCTTCGAGGCGACTTCGAAGTAAAAACTAGTGATCAAGAGCAATACCAGCGAAATCTACGACTTGGCTACAACCTAGGACATCGTTAGTGCTTAGTGTTTGGACCTAGTGCTAGTGAATAAAGTTTTCAAAAGAGTCAGCAGGTCTTTCTCTCCAAATCCTTCGAACCCTGACATGTAACAATATAATAATATGCAGAATGATAAATAATGGTTGCTTCTATTTAAAAAAAAAAAATTAATGGATTAAATGTAAATTACACACAAGTATATATTTTTGTATAAATATTGTACGGATTAACAACTTTTTTATAGTTGGTAATGGATACAACAATATTTACCCATCATCATTAAATAAGATCACTTTTGCCATTAAAGTGCAGCAGACTGAAGATACTGTTACAAAAGCATCAATTAAATTTATGCTACAGTGAGTATGACAAATTACCCAACTACAACGGTTAATAATTGTTAGATTTTCTTTTTTAAACATACATATAAATCAACCATGAAAGTTTAACCATCATAGTTTTTTATCTAGCATCAGTTTGAGGCTATTAAAGTTCTTAAAATTTGTTCAAAATTGGTACATTACTAGCATTAGTTCACAAATGGTTATTAGAAAATACACTTAGATTGTATAAACAAAACATTTTGGGTGAGCAAAATTTCTTGTTTTGGGAAGAAGTCAAAAGTGAACTTGACATTGTTCATAGATATACAAAATATTATTTGATATTTAGAAAATTGGTAAAAATATAAAAATAATAACATACTAGTAAGTAACGAGACAGTCTATTGTTAGCTCTTGCCGGTGATGGACTTGCACTATCACTCAAAGACTCGGGACCACTAAGTCTAAAAGATTGTGGTGTTATTGCACTAGCTTCATAATCTAATCGTTTGAAAGGTTCACCAAAACCACTACATACATAAGACTGTCCATCTTCTAGATCATCTAATTTGCCTATCTGAAAAGAAAAGAAAATTGCTTTATAAACAATATATCAATTAATTCAATAAGAAAATTACTTTCGAAACAATAATTTCTCAGATTATAATTTAAATTATTACTATCTATTCACTTACTTTTCTACCTTCCAGTGAGTATATTGTCCGCACACCACTTGGTAAGGTAACATTATCAACTAATACCCTAGTTAAATCTGCAGTCAAACTATCAAAAGATCTGAAACAATAATTAAAAAATAAATAAATGTAAATATCTATTATTGTAGTTGATAACTCAATCAAAATTGAAAATAATATGTTTTCTCATTCCATTTTTTAATAATTTTAATAAGAAATCAAGAAATATAAATAATATTGAATGACATTGATTGATTAATTAATAAATTAAAATATTATTTTTATATTAATTAAAAACTTATATTTCATTTGCCTCTTCCGAGTGGGTGTTTAATGGTTTAAGTATTGAACTCAAGATATTATAGCTGTTGTATATACAACACACACTTGTAAAATATGGATGAAAGTGAAAGTAGCAGGTGATTCAAAGTTTTAATCAATTCACCAATTTCTTTTAAAACAGCGTACCTGTATCGTTCTGGCAAGACTGGAATCGTCACTCCTGAATAAAATTTGTCACCGTTTCGAAAAAATCTTATACGTTTTGCTTTCCGGGCTGAACCTACGGTGTTGCGTGGATTCGTCCTAGATTTCATTATTTTCATATCGTTTAGGTCCTTTTCGAGTTCACAAACAGAACTCGATCGGCTCCCACTTCGACTTAAATTGTTCTCCATTCTATAATAGAAAGTTAAAACTTTGTAATTTTTTGTTAACGGATTGTTCAATTCATTTAAAAGTAAATTGATAAAGCCTCACCCTTTTTTCTTGGCACGTTTCAGTAGAAAGAATAATTATCTAATTAATAAAAAAACATCACTTAATCGTATTTCATTCTTTAATTTTCATAGGAGAGTTGATGTTACAAAAACTATTTAGAATTATTCGGTTCCTGTCCTGTATTTCATGAAACACACGGAAATCTGCGGAAATCGTCACAGATAATCTTCACAGCACAGGATATAAATAAAGTAGAAATTGGTAGTTCTTTATTTTGAATTAAATTAAGTACAAAGTTTTTAAAATGATATTTTTTTTATGTGAAAAGTTGCCAAACGAGCAGACGGTTCACCTGATTAGGCATGAGATATACCTGCAACATTCTATACCCGGCCTCAAAGGTACGGGTATCGCCGTATACCCTTTGCTAAAACCCAGTATCAAAATACCTATAGGTATTAGTTATCAGTTCAGGCCTCCTAATGGAGACCCGGTATGAAATTGAACCTTTATTTGGTTGGAATTGGAACATTTAGATGTTTTTTAGCAATCATTTTTTTTAATTGAGATTTAATCAGTCTAAATAAGGCTCCATCTTTAACAACGTAAAGAATCCTATTATAAAAAAAAAGTAATTCAAAATAAATATTACTGTTTAATCTTATTACGCAATTATTTATCTACCTAATTGTCATAGAAATAATGAATAAATTTATCTCAAGAAAATATTTCGTATAAAATGCCTAAATCATACGTTTCAATTCGGTCATGATCGGAAAGAGCCGCCGTAAGCGTTCGGGGAACTTCGTACCTATTCGGCCGGCGAGTTGTCGCGAGCGTATATACCGCCACCATCGGACGAAGCGGCCATAGCCATACCTATCGGGTATGGAACGGGCCTCTGCCATACGTCATACCCGTTATGCGGGCGGGTTGTCGCGAGCGTTATATACCGCCACCGTCGGACGAGGCGGCCATACCTATCGGGTATGGAACGGGCCTCTGCCGTACATACCCGGTGTGCTACTGGCATATTCATACTGGGTATTTATACCTGTTCCAGTATATACGCCTCATCCCTACACCTGATGGTTAGTGAATACCGCCGCCCAAGGACGTCTACAAGGTTACAGATGCGTTGACAACCTTTTGAAAATTGGGCTCCGGCTACCTCACTCACCAGACGAAACGCGAAAGTATTTGTCATACTTCCACTTTACGCTGGTCTTCTGGGAGGTCGTGATACTTGCCCGGACGGGCCTGGCCATTCGTGCAACAGCCGAGGCTGCTGCGTGGCCCTACCACCGTAAATATTCATCAAAAATTTTGTGACCCAAGAATGTAATATATTAAATTATACTGGTGCCTAGAGTACCTACTATTTTGTGTCGGTGATTTCATGTATGACTCATATTAGGTTGTATGTATTGTAAATCTACCCAAGACACTGCAATTTTTCCAGTTTCCATTTGTGCACTCACTAGTTCAAGGTTCAAGGTGTTTTTTGTATCGATAACGTTAATGACAGATTATATAGAATGTATATATCAAAAATGCTTGAAAGTTATTTATTTTTGCAATTGGTAAAATTGATTTATTTGGCTATTGCATTATAAACATAACATAATGATAGCAATTCACATGGCAAATCGAGTTTACGCATTTGATACATATGGCGAACAATCAACCTGTATAGTTAGTATTACTTTTTTTGCTATTACAAATACGGTATAGACAAAAATACTTCTTTACTGATTGATTTCTCAATGTCCTGTGTATATTTTTATCACTACTCATTAAATAGAGATAATGTGCATAGCGAGTGGTAATCATTTCAGTTTGCTAGAGTCAAACTTTACTGCTAAAGATAGGCCTCTGAGCCTGAATCTGAGCCAACTGCATATATAATATTGAGGTACATATATTACATATATACAGCGTGTTGTTACCACGGCGACAATAAATGAACACACGTCTAACTCTACTTGCCAATAATCATTAAAAATATTAACGTCAAAAAAAATCATAATAGAAAAAATCAAACAATCTAATTAAGTAAAAAAGAAACAAAATTTGTAACACCTATACAATTACAATATCATCCTATACAATGACTGATTCATACATTCAGAGATTTTTTCATTCGTTGCCACAGCGTCGTTTTACAAGCCTCTCCTTCTAACAGTATGTTTTGTCTCTATTAAATTCATTCAACCCATTCATATGCTTTGAAACCTTTACAAATGCACTTTACGTTACAGTTTTATACCTAAGGATGTTCTAAAATTCGTTGTTTTGGAAAATGTAATAGCTCTGTAAATTTTGATGTTTAAAGAATATAAATGTTTTATACAATTTTAAAAAGTTCTACTCTATATGTGTGTTCATTTGTTGTCGCGATTGTAAAGACACGCTGTATATATTTTTGATAATTCCGTGGCGTAGTTGCCAAGGTATTGGCTTCGGCGTCGGGGGTCGTGAGTTCGATTCCCACACGGGACAACTATTTGTGTGACCCACAGATAATTGTTTCGCATCTGGGTGTTTGTCCGCGTGAGCCCTGAGATCGTAACATGCGACGATGTTAGATTTTTTTTACTTTCTCATGTACAAAGGTCACAAATGGCGTCATCGTGTCGTCGTCGTGCACCATGAAACCATGATGAACTTCCTCCTGAGTTCACCGGAGCTGTTAAATCCGCTGGACTAACAACAAAATAGCCTCTCACAAAAGGAATAAAAGGCATGGTGTGAACTTTTTTTTAGAACCATCTGAGTCCTAATTCAATTAATAAACATTAGTGTGGCAACATCGTAAACAGGTGACGCATTTATCAATTTGGTTTATGTCAAAAGAACAGACAAAGAGTAATTTTAAATTGTATTTTTACTTATCTCATAAGATTTTTGTGCAAAATGGCATCAAGGAAAAAGGTTTTATTGAAAGTGATCATCCTGGGAGATAGCGGTGTTGGTAAAACTTCACTTATGAACCAGTTTGTCAATAAAAAATTTTCCAATCAGTATAAGGCAACAATAGGCGCAGATTTTCTCACGAAGGAAGTAATCGTCGATGATAGGATTGTAACAATGCAAATTTGGGATACTGCCGGCCAAGAGCGATTCCAATCTCTGGGGGTGGCATTTTACCGTGGGGCGGATTGTTGCGTTTTAGTCTTTGACGTAACGGCTCCTAATACCTTCAAGTCCTTGGAGAGTTGGAGAGACGAATTTCTGATACAAGCGTCGCCGAGAGACCCGGATAATTTCCCATTCGTTATTTTAGGTAATAAAGTAGATTTGGAAAACCGCGCAGTATCAGCCAAGCGCGCACAACAGTGGTGTCAAAGCAAAAATGATATCCCATATTTTGAAACAAGTGCCAAAGAAGCCGTGAATGTTGAGTTGGCTTTTCAGACTATTGCTCGCAATGCGTTGGCACAGGAAAAGGAAGCTGAGTTGTACAATGAGTTCCCTGATCAAATCAAGCTTAATGCTAATGATAATGGTCGCAACAGAGATGGAGATAATTGTGCTTGCTAGACATCAATGTAATAACACCCCAATATTGGCAATATATTAATATCTCAATTTATATAAAATTAAAACAATAGAATGTAATAATAATGTATAAGTAATCATTTCTTTCATGTCATTGTCAACATGTAAAATGTGTAGGTGAGATAAAGACCACAATGTTTTTTTTTCTTTTTGTTTGTTATGCACATATTAATTGTGTAATATGCACACTATTTAGCAGCTAAATTGTGGCTTGTTATTAGAGTAGAAAGCACTTACTCAAAGTACAACTCATTTATTTTCTGTATTGTAAATAATGAGGCCCTTAAATCACAAACATTTTAATAATACAATTATAAAATATATGCCATATATGAAGATACTGTGCCTAGAAACTTGATAAATTCTATTCTACATTTTTATACTAGTTATAAAAAAACAAAAAGTATTTTGAACAGTTTCATACTGCTTTAATCATGTTTATAATTTTATAGAACAGTTTATAGAACATGACATTATTTTGCTAACAATTCATTAAAGATAAAACTTGTAATTCAATTATGACTAACATCATTTATGACAGTTGAGTTATTTATAAATTGAGTCACAGTCACAGTCTTGATTTCTTAAAGGAAAACCAAAAATCAATTGAATTGTAATAAAAACTACACAATAATGCAAAATATTAAAAAAAAAACAAGATTTAAATATGTTCTATCCTACTTAATATAGATGCACTTATGAAAATATTATGCTAAAGATTTTTACTCCGTATCAAATGTATATGCCTTATTTATGATGTATTTGGAAAAGATCATTCACTGGTTATCAACTGTGGATGTGATATTTCTTGTAACAACACAAGTTCAAGCTTTATCATGGAAAATGTTTTGATCTGTTCTTTCATTTGTTTTGGTAGAAATAAAAAAATTGCAATCTAGTTTTTGGGTTGATTGACAAAAAATGTTCACCTTAAAAAATGTTCTGTATATATTTGAAATTTATGTTACATTTAAGTAGTTAATGTTAACAGTAACATAGTTATTATAGTAATTATGCGACATTTTTACTCTACAATTTGTCAACCTTTTTATTTTAGTTGGTAATTGAATTAATAAGATTGGCTCTAAAATGGTAGTTAGTGGTGAGGAAAATCAATTTTTTTTTTTATTTCGAAGTTTGGTGTAGTACATAAATATGAAATGTATTTCAAAAGAGTTGTTAAACCTTGTTTCAATTGAGATTGTTACAAATGAAAAGCTTGCCAACAGTAAAACAATTTTGTCAAAATTATATCTTTATTAAATCTCCCTTGAAAGAGCATTTATGTTAAACCATACATTCAATGTCTAATAGAGAATGTCTATTAGGAGTTTATAAAAGAAAATATATGCTGTAATAATAGTTACTTTTATTTTATATTAATAAAGAAATTTTAAGCGTAAATGATGTTTTAAAACCCTTAATATGAAAAATAATTGTAAATTTATGTATGATACACACAAGTAGTAGGAAGAAGGATATATCATAGTTTTGTGTTTGGACTGCTGAATGAAGTAATTAAGGTCCACTTTTTTTAAAGGTCTGAAACGCACCTGCAATTCCTCAGGTGTTGTAGATATCCATAGGCGGTGTTAATCACTTAACATCGGGTTACCACCTTACTTACAAGTTTATACCAAAAAATAATGTTTTTAGTTTTGCGACAAAATTTGTGAAAACTTCAGTTGATGGTAGTCTTTCGCATTTATATGAGTTCATTCATTTTCTGATGACATTACATTACACTACTTACTTTCTAGCTAACAAGATTATTTTTTCTCTTCTACACAAATTTCACCTTTTTTTAAAACAAATACATCTTTGGTGTTTACCTTTAAATTTTAACTCAAAAAATAAAAGTACACCTCAATTAAATATATATATAGGTATATTTGCTTACGCAAGCAAATATACTTAGTGCTGATTGTATGCTTAGTACCTTGACTTAATCCAGAGATCAATAATATTTCAGGATTCAATTCTGAAACTACTATAAGTATATTTAATAATATAAGCATAGAATATCTATACATACAGGGTGGCTTTTCTAAAGGTGCCCAAATTCATACAGGACTCGGTAGTATAATCGTTTATTGAAATAACTTTTTTTCAAAAGAATTGTAATTCTATTCGCTAAAAAACAGAACTTGTTGACAATGCGGTAGTCATTCATAAACGCGTCATACTTTTGAAACGAACTTGTGTGCGTATTAGTTATGAAAGAGTGAAATTTACGCGCGGTAAACAATGCCCATAAATCACGCACTTTTTGAGATAGGTTCAAATGAATGTAATGAATTAATTACGAGTGATTTTAAATATTTATCATTTTTATATAAGTAACATTATTTATGTCTAGAATTTAACAAAAAAAAATGGATACACTTAGAAAGGCTTCCCTGTATAATAAAAAAGAAACTGATCGTTGTCTGTACATCGGAGACATTTGAGAAAAACTATTACTTCATCATCACAGTAGAACCCAAAACAATGATTGTTTATCTGTTTGTCTGTGCGTTTGTGTGCGCTAATCTCAGAAATGGCTTAACCGATTTGGGTGCAACTTTCACTAATGAATAGTAATAAGTTTCACTTAACATTTAGTGTCAGTTTTATTAAAAGTTTTATTTTCTATAGTACTTATAAATTAAGACTTCTAAATGTGAAAACTTATAAATGGCTTCTACTTAAAATTATTTTTACTAAAATCATTTAATTATCTTTGTTAATAGCTGTAAGTTTTCCGAATAAAATAGGATAAAATAAATAAATCGGTTCATAAATAAAAAAGTTATATCAACTTAACTAACCACATTGAAGATTTGTGCGATAACATGCTATACAGCGTGTCGTTACAACCCCGACAATAAATGAATACACTTCTAACGCTACTTGCCAATAATCATAAAAAAATATAAAACGTTAAAACGTTAAAAAATCCATAATTTAAAAAAATATATTTTTCAAACAAACTAATTAAATAAAAAAGAAACAAAATTTGTAACACCTATACAACACAACCGACTGATTCATACATTCAGAGACGTTTTCATGTGTTGCCACAACGTCGCATTACAAGTCTCTCCTTCTAACAGTATGTTATATCTCTTTTAAATTCATTCAACCCATTCATATGCTTTGTGACCTTTACAAATGAACTTTACGTTACAGTTTTATGCGTAAGGTGTTCTAAAAATGTTTGTTTTGTAAAATCTAATAACCCGGTAAATATTGATGTTTAAAGAATGTAAATGCTTAATACAATTTTAAAAAGTTATCCTCGATATGTGTGTTCATTTATTGTCGCGGTTGTAACGACACGCTGTATAATAGTTACAGTTTAGTTGAATAAAATATACGGTGGTAGGGCGCAGCAGCCTCGGCTGTTGCACGAAAGGGCAGGTCCATCGTTTCTAAGTCCTCTTCGTCGCTCGGGTCGATGAGGACGTTTCGCGGGCGACGCTTGTTGACGTTCGCGTTTGTGTCAGGTTGGTAACTTGCTGCGCTGGTCAGGTCTTTAAAATATTCGCGAATCGTCGGGAGTCTGCAATCGCTGTGCAGGTCGACGTTGCGTTGATACCACTGCGCACCGGTTGCGCGGCGGATGAACTTATTTTGTACTATTTGCAACTTGTACAAGCGAGTAGGGTGCTGTGGGCGAAGGTCATGCATGCGTAGGACATAATAGATCGTACATCATGATACTTATATAATAATAATTTGTGCCTTAAGGGCATTTTACTTTTAGCCTTAATTAAATTGTGTAGCCGGCCGGAGAAGAACGCGGCTCTATTGCGAACGTTATTAATGTGCGTATTAAATGACATACACTAGTCGAAAGTGACTCCTAAGTTTTTGACCTTTTTCTCCCAGGGGAGCGGTTGGCCATAAAGGGATATTTGCCCCAACTAGCATGAGCTCCTAAATCAATAATCATGTATATGCCGTAGCTAGGGGGGGGGGGGGGGGGGGGCATTGTAGTGCAATACCCTACCTTAAAATCACAATGCCCTACCTTAAAAATACCAAAATAAAAATGCGTAAATATGACCACGTTTTTCAATATCGTACACGTCTCAAGTGATTTCCCATCCTACTTCACCGGAATTTGTATATTCTTTCTATGTTGTACCTACTGTGTTCTATTTCATGTTTCTACTCCACTTTATTTAAAGGAGAAATTTGAATTTGTAGGGCTTCTAGGGGAAGATCCTACCTTCTTCGAGGAAGCTCATTTTAAAAAAAAGGTTGGCACCTTTAAAATGAGCTTCCTCGAGCTCCTAAATCAATAATCATGTATATCACTGACCTCTAGGTCAGTTCAATAGCTATTCGAAGACAAATAATTTCTGTGACAGAACATGAGCATGGATATAAGCACTATTAAATCCTTAATGATTAAGAATAAGCGAACAAGATGGTTGAACTTCCAGCTTTGGATGTAGAGATCCACGTCTGAGTGAGAGTGAGGTAATAATAAATTTTTGGATGAGATGATACGACCAAAAATACCACATATCAAATTGTTTCTGCAGACCTATTATAATAATTAACATAATAATAAAAATATTTAAAACAGCTGAATTTTTCAGTTCAGTTTTCAGATCAACTGATTTTGTCCTTTTTTTCCAAAGGCCAGTAATATCATACCAGCCATTCTCTCGTGACCCATTGACAGCCTTTGAGGCCTATTGATTGCAGTTAAAGTTGAAAACGTAGATTCGCACACTGCAGTGCTACATCCTATGGTCGCCACAGATGCAAAAAGTTCATATGTATCTTTAAACGCCTCTCGTTGCCTGTACAACACTTGCAATGTACTTTCCATTTTGTCCTCCTTACGACTCAAGTAAACTTTAACCACACTAGCCTACTTGAATTTTTAATTTTTTTAAACTTACCCAAACTTTTCAGTGGAAGCATTTTATCTACATCCAACTCATCGAGACTTGCAATCGAATTGATTAGATCATCATCAT